TTGTCTTGGATCTCACTAGGATAAAGTTGGGGCAAACATAGATATATAGCAGCAGGGTTAAGTACACCCAACTTTTATAACTGCATCGTTGCCTGCTACATTTCCTTGGTTCAACATATCACTAAACCGGAATGTGATTTCCTTTGTTTTAACTCAGTGATACATGAAACCAATCATGATTTGTAAATCATGATTTATAGTTTAATATAAATTATATGTGTGAATGAGGTAACTATGACCTGTTCAGTAATCTATGGTTAAAAATATAGCATTAACTATGAAGACAGACACTACTTAAGACTTATAATGAAGTAGATCATGCTCAGACTAGTAATCATAAGATACATCTGGCTTGTTTATTCCTAATATTTGATTTATGCCACTATGATTCATGCTGATCCCTATATAATACCAGACTCTTTGCTTTAGTTTAGTGTGGTCTATAAGCATACCTTAATCAAGGTTTACTTTATCTTACCTTTATGGGTTCACCAATATAATATGGTTAAAAACCTTTCTTACTATAAACTACTTATTATTTAAATTTTTTTCTATTTGCCTTCTGTTATAGCATATAATTAAAATAATATTCAGAAAATATAGAGTAGTTACTAAGCATCTGACTAGGGACAAGATTTTATAAAGACTGATCTATAAAATAAGAACATGATTTTAAAAATGTGAAGCATATTTTTTTTAAAATATAGATGCTTCTGAGCTTTTGTCACAGACAATACGCAGTATATTAGGTCATGATAGATAATAACTTACTTCAATTGCATTTGCTGCCTATTCAAAGCAATTATTTCTGATTTGGGATTCAAAAAAGTTCTGAGTTCAACAAACATAAGAAATATCAGACACATCTTTTAACTAAATTAGTAATATCTGCCTAATCTCATAATATTTTGACTCTGGTTGAGCTTTATATTCTCTGATAAGAATTTGCGCGTATTCTCTGATAAGAATTTGACTGTTTTTCTGCTTCTGGATTTTGTGCTAGAGATGGGAAAAAATGAAACTTTGACTTTGCTTTTTTGCTAGTTAGATAAGGTTTGTTGTTACAGAAATGGCTAGCAATATTAGCATGTAAAAGTAAAAAAGTTAAAGCTGTAATGTTATTATCCTATTCTACTGCACAAAAAAGAGTTGAAAAGCAATGCTTTTCTTGTTCCCCCTTTACCCTACATTTTTCCCTTTCCCTTTTCCCACGATTTTCATTCTTTTGTATTTTATATTCTGATAAACTTAATTAAAACATTTGCAAAAAAAGAAAAGAAAAAGAATTTGACTATCTTTCCAGTGACATATTCATAGTTCAGATAAGGAACAACCTTCCTCCCCTCCAACTGTGCCTATCAAGTCAATGATCTTGTTACACTTCAGTCTACGAGCAGAGTAATATAAACTAAATGTACTATGGTATATATTTAAGCCAGTATAAACCCATTTATGCTGTGAAATCAAAAAGGAATTTCTTTTAACATCTTGAAACAATGAACTATCAGTTTCTGTACTATGATTTACCAGTAATTCAACCTTCTTCGCTTGCTGCTGTCCAGATGTGTTGGGACTGCAATTCCCAGGATTCCTAGCTGCCAATTCTAGGATTTACTCCCCTGCCCCCAACATCTGGAAGATAGTAGCTTGAGGAACATTCAATTGTTCTGAGTTTATCCCCTTTAATATATTTGATAGCATTCCTTTACTTTCATTGCTTTTATCACCGTTTCTTTCAAAACCTTCCAAATGTGCAATATATGCCAGTATATCTAATATATAGCATACGGTTACTTATTTAGGAATAAATATTTCCAATTAAATGAAGCATCTTTTAAAATGGATTAAGCTCCAATAGAAATTCTTTCAGCAATGCAGCAAAACAGTGCCTGGTGACAAATACTCTCACTAGCTTTCCAGTTTACTAGCCGAGATTACTTTTGTTTTTCTTTAATCCAACTAGTGAAGATAACTAGCCAATAACAGCTAGTTATGTGTTTTCTGATGAAATGTGTTTCCACTCCATCTCGGAGGAAGGATATAAAAGGTTACCATAATATTAGCTGCATGAGAAATTGGAGAATGTAATCTTTCCCTTTCTCCCTATGAGGAAACCTGCAGTAAATTTCCTATCTGCCTTATCTATAAACACAGCCTACAGCATTGCCCTGCCTCTTATATGCTATCAATTCTAGCTAAGCATAAGTATCTCTTTCATGATAAAGATTTCCTTTTTTAGCTGCTGTTATTAAAAATATCACCCCTTCCTCCACAACTGCCTCCCTTCCCACCTCTCCTTTGCAAATAGAGACACATGTGGGCAATTCACCAAACAGTTCACAAAAGCAACACACACCTCCAAACAGAGCACTGCAGCTCTCTCTCTCTCTCTCTCTCTCTCTCTCTCTCTCTCTCACACACACACACACACACACAGCCCGCCCCCTCCTCCAAGAAACCCTAAATCCTACCTGAAATCTTTATCAGTCGATGTCATCTTCTCCAAGAGGTTGGAGATATGATAGGATATGTTGGTCATCTTGAACAGCTGGTCTGGGAAGACGATCCCTTCTACACGGCTTGCTTTAATATAGAGGTTTCAAGCAAAAGTACAAGTTTCTCGCTGTCCTAATCAGGGAGCCCTGCCGGCGTGAAATCTGCATGGAGAATATGGCGACAGAAGGGGCACAGTGAGACTGGGGTAGTGTTTTTCCTCTCTCTCCCACCCTCCCACCCCTTGGTTAGAAGTCACTGGAAAAGCTAAGCCCCTGGACTGTTATCATAGGATATATATAGCCTGTAGTTGGAGCTGTAGCTGTAGCTGAGCTAATGGCACCCCCTCCCGGCAGACATCTGCAGCCTCTCAAGTTCTCCAGGAGAGAAAAGTGGAGGAAAGGCGGGGGCAGCTGCTTCTCTTCTCACCCCATCTCAGCGGCTATTTGGCCAGTGCTGCAGCAGAACTGCAGGTGTTTGCTGACACACTGCAATCAAATAGCAAATCATCCTGAAATGAGAGAGAGAGAGAGAGGGAGAGGGAGAGGGTGAGGGAGGGAGAGGGAAAGAGAGAGAAGTGATGAATCACCTGGCTAGGGACAGCTGACGTTGACACTCAACGCAGAAGAAGGTCAATTAGTTTGCCTTAAGTAGGAAGTTCTCTACATTCATCAATCTACCCACCCTTCCAGTATAAAAGCAGCTGTTCCTACTTTGCCAAGTATTTTTTAAATTCAGAATAATGGCATACAAATTAATTTGAGGTCTATGCAAGCATGATAAATCTAAAATAGATGCTGGATAACCATGCAACCATTCGTTTTGGGGGGAAATGGCTCATTACAAAAGCTATAATTTTTTGCTCCCAGGAACTTGAATTGATACAGTAAATTTGTTCTGGCTACTGAATGCTAGCTACAGTTAGGTCGGTTTGCTTTTATTTGTAACTTTACTGTATTTCCAATTAACAAGGAAATTAACAACTTCTTTTAACAAATTTAAATTAACAATTAAAACAATTCCCATTACTGCATAATTGTGTGACATTTACTTCTGGTTAGTTGAGCTAACTCTGAACCATCCAGGCTGGATTCACCCAACCTACTAGATTGAAATGTGGTTTATGCTTTCATGTGTTACATGTGAATATAAGCAATGAGTCTAGGGCAGATACAAAACTACAGGGCAAATCAATGGATATCTACTGAAAATGTTAATTTGCTTGAGTTCTGTTTAAAATTCTGTTAGATAATGTCACAAAATTGCAAGCAGTTTGGTGGGGTTTTTTTTTAGCAAAGATGCACCCAGCTCTCTGACATGAATTTTAGATTTATCTAGATTTTTCTTTACTGGTGTCAGGTATTGTATATAATTCCTGTACAAGAATGTTCTTTGCCAGCACTTTCAGAATGTTTTCTCCCAGTGCAATTTATTGTTACTGAAATAGGGAACCTTTAATGATTGACAATATCAACACATTGAATGCAACAAGCATAAAGTAACAGTTCCGGATAACTCATCTATAACTTGATTCTTCCACATGACAGAGTTAATCATTAAAAAAAAGTATTTAAAAATTCGGGTTTCAATACTCATTCTACCAAGCTGTGGAAAGGAAAAAAAGCAACAGCACCATCGATATGAGAATTGGATCTATAATGATTGTGTTCAAATCTTCATTCTCCACTCCAGGCATGTTTTTGCCATGCAACTCACGGAATGAAATTGTTTTTCAGCTTTTGTCCCCTTTCCAAATTCTTATCTAAAAGTTGACAGCACTGAAGGAAACTGGTAGTCAATGTTGATACATATTATGAACATTATAACACACTCTAACCACAATACATTTTACTTACAAATGCATAACCATTTTTAATATTGGGGGTAGAAAGCATTTTACTTGCAGTGAAAATTCAGCCTGCTCAGGTTTTCAACAGCCCTGTGAAACTCTTTAATTTTTCCATATTACTAAGTATGCAGAAATGCATCTTTATCCACCTTGCGAACCTACCAAATGTGTCAAACTATAATCTCACCATTCCCAGCCAGCGGAGCAACTGACGATCCCCAGTCAGTGGAAGCAACTGATGATCCAAATATCATGGCATCCTGATACCCAGGGCAGGAAAACGAATTGTTTTCTGGCTGGGATTACACACTTGCACCGAGCCCTAAACTGGCTGAATATTTGTGTTCACATCACCCATAAACCGCGATTCACACCCGCTTCAGCTCAATCCAAACTGGGCTATGAGATTCAACCCCGTAAGAAAAAAAAAACAATAATCAGTCTGCCCCCACCCGCTCCCCCCGCATTCCCAAAGGTGCGAGGGATAAAGGCGGCAAAGGTTACAAAAGGGGAAAAGAAGTCCCGAAACACGCAGAGCCTCTCGCCTGGCAGAAGGAAGGTAAAGAAGGAGGCCTGGGCAGCAGGAGGAGGAACTTTCGTGCGGATCTCAGGAAGAGGGGTTTTTTTTCCCCAGCCGGAAGGTTTTGTTTGTCGTACGCACAGCCGGCCTGAGCTTGCTTTGCCACGTCTGAGAGCGGCCGGCCGGGCAATCGTATCGCGGAGCCGGGCTGGTCCCGTGGAAATTCCTCTCTCGTCGTCGCCGCCGCCATGGTGAGATTGAGGGGGGAGGGGGGGAGGGCTGAAGTTTGGGCCCTCTTCGCTTAGGGTAGTCAGGTTGGCGGCCCGTCGTGCTCCCCCTCCGGGTCTTGGGAGTGCTGGGGTAGCTGGTGGCGGTGGTCATTTTGCCGAAGGGCTGAGCTGGTCGCCGAGCTTCTCCCGGGAAACGGCGAAGGCCGAGCGAGGCGAGGGTCAAGGATCGAGGCCCATTGCCAGACTCCAGCTCTTCTATGATCCCGGCCACGTCTGAGACTCTTTCCCAAGCCATTCCTTTGGGATCCTGAAAGCGCCCGCCCTGTAACTGCTGGACGCTGTGCAAGAGATGGATCTATTTTTTAAAAATATACATACATACATACATACATACATACATACATATATATATTGTCAAGCATATGTAAGATTACATATAAAAGTATAAACATGATTGTGAATACATGAAAATATATAAGAATAAAAGGGGACGTTAGGACAGGGACGGTAGGCACGTTGGTGCGCTTATGCACGACCCTTACAGATCTACTCCATTCTACAATCTACTCCATTCATCCTAGCGCCTGTTTTTGATTCATTTTGCTTTTAATTCTGGGGTGGTGGTGGTGAGGGGTTTGTCTTGCACTGAACTGAAAACGGAAGCAAGGTATTTTGTCAAAAGGCAACTACATCAAAGATCTACTGGTTTTAAATGTTTCTGATCCAGACCAAACGTCTATGTCAGTGTTTCTCAACCTTGGTAGCTTGAAGATGGGTGGACTTCAACTCTGGGAGTTGAAGTCCACCCATCTTCAAGCTTCCAAGGTTGAGAAACACTGGTCTATGTGGAGATTCTCACTCATCCAGCTCATGGTTGTCCCAAAGATGCTTTTTTTTTTCCCCCAAGAAAGGCCAGTTGCCTCTTGAAAAAGCACCTTTGGGACTGATTCAGACAAGTTACTAGGGTTTGATGACTGACCTAATTTCATATTATGGAGGACAGTTGGGAAGCTGGGTAGCAGCCAGGAAAAAGGCAAGCATTTGCGCCCCCCCCCCAATCGGCATACTTATGCTGAACAGTGTACAGGTAGTCCTTGACTTATTGCTACAGTTGGGCTCAAAATGTCCATTAAGTCGTTAAGCCAGTGGTGCCCCATTTTGCAAACTTTTTGCCAGATTTGTAAAACAAATCACGGCAGTTGTTAAGTGTCTCCTGAGATTGTTAAGCGAATCTGGCTTCTCCCATTGAATTTGCTTGTTGGAAACTGGCTGGGAAGGTTGCAAATGGTGTTCACACAACCTTGGGACAGTCATAAATATATGCCAGTTGCCAAGAGTGTAAATGTTGATCACGTGACTACGAGGATGCTGCAACAGTCAGAAATGTGAAAATTGGTGATAAGTCACATTTTTCAGTGCTGTTATAACTTTCAATGATTACTAAAATAATGGTTGTAAATTGAGTGCTATCTGTACTAGCTTTCTGGACAGTTAACCATATTGACCTTGCTGGAGACCTGGAAGGATTGTTGTACTAGTAGATGTGCTTAAACAGTCCATAAAACTATTGAAATTAGGCTTACCTCTTCACAAATGCCTTTGTCCTGGGTCTAAGATATTTTTACATCCTGGGATAAGCATAGTTTTCTGGGCAGGGTAATTAGTATTAGAATCAAGTTTCAAAACTAGATGTTCTGCCCTTACTTTTTTTCCTGTCCTATCAGCTAAAGCAGGCCCAAAGATTAGCTTCTTGTGTTACCTTGTACTAGCACCATGTATAATATGTCACGGAAGTTTTAAGGATTAACTAAAGACAAAGAAGATAAATGAAGATAATGCTAAGACAAAGATAATGCTCTAAAATTATCTGAAGATTAATCGTGTTAATGTAAATAAACTACTGTAAACAGTATGGCCAAGTCCTACATATTTTAATTCTTGACTATAAATATAAGGTCAGGATCTATTAGTGTCATTACAGCTTCTTTGTATTTTCCTATTAGGTGTCTGTAATTAATACAGTGGATACTTCCCATGAGGATATGATAGTAAGTATTTTGTCTCTTTCTTTTTTAGAATACATTTCTATCCCAAAATAAATACAGCAACATTCGTTTTAGTAGGATAATGCAAGGAATGAATATTTTTTCTGATGTACTATAGAAAACTTTAAAGCCACTTTTTACATGGAAGGGAGAAGAAAATTATGGTAAGGCTAAGAATTCTCTCCTTTCTTTGGAAAGATAGAATGGGATACAGTAGTTGAATCCAGAAAATATGGCATTAGAATGATGAACACGCTCAAAGTAAGGTAGCTGTTCATTTTTAATATATTTACATGTTAATATACCATATCATAGCATGTACTGTATGTAAGGGTGAGTGGAGTAAGAGACACATTATCTTATATTTTCTGAGTGTAACAGTGAGTAGTATTCGCTACTTTGAAATATGATAAAAATAGTAGATGCCAGTCTTAATAATATGGTGACAATATATAGTCATAATTGAGCACATTCTGCTTGAGAGTAAATACTTGCCTCAGTCCAGACTCAGCTATCTCCATGATTGTACTTTGTTATACTATTGGCTTTTAATATTTTTATTTTTTTCAAAATTGAGATATGCTGCCTATAGCCATAAATTATGAGTTGGGTGGCCTTATAAATATCTGGGAATTTGTACTGAAACAAAATTATTTTTCATAAATCATCCCCTGTAACATTTTTATTGGAATATTGTTAGTTTTTGAAAAATGTTACGGCAGTTGTGATACTAGGCAAGTATCTAGGGCAGGGGTGTCAAGCTCGCGTCATCACATCATCGTCAAGTGACATATTATGACTTTTTTCCCCTTCGGTAAACCAGGCATGGGCAGGGCTAGCCCGTGATGCATCCAGCCCTCAGACCACAAGTTTGACATCCCTGATCTAGGGCAAATAAAATGCTTTCTCAGTGAAAAATTAGTACCGTACATGGAGCTGTGACAGTATCTAGCACATTTTTCTGGTTCCCTACTTATAATTTTAGCTGCTAAAATGAAGTGTTGACAATTTTTTTTTTCAGTAAACTATTTTGTAAACCTGCATTCTACCACTCATTGATGCCAAATAGCTAACATATAATATAATTCCTGATTGTGCTAACAACCATTGATTGTGACATCATCTTATGCTGTATATTTTATATTTTTGTATTTATTTTAAGAATTTTGCTGTTCCTAGTCACTTCTGAGACAACTGGCTATACAAATTATAATGAATAAATAAATATTACATTTTCAAAGATTTAAAAATCGTTGTTATAGAAACAGAACTGTGAGGTTTTTAAAAGCTGATTATATTACTTCCTAGCATGATGCTCAAATGGATTACTATGGCACACGATTGGCAACCTGCTCTTCAGACAGATCTGTGAAAATATTTGATGTCCGGAATGGAGGACAAATTCTCATAGCTGACTTAAGAGGGTGAGCTGAAGACAAAATAATTCTTTGTCGCATGACCGATTTTTCTGTTTTGGTTATAGACAAAATTGCTGGCTTTTGGCCAGAATATATTTTTTGCATATCTAATATTCGACTTGACAGCTTTTGTAAGTCAACCTTTATCTGGCCTGTCTTACATCCTGTATACTATACTGTATATCCAATTTCTTAGGTCTCATCTCATTTAAAAAGTGATTTAACTAAACATCATTGATTGGACTCACAAACACTAAGAAATAAACTTTGAGTTCTGTACAATTAGGCAACAATTTATTTGATTTATGTCCTGTTGTTCTTTAAAAGGACTCTCCAGATAGGATGTTTTTAACTTTAGAAGTAAATCTTCTTTACAAATGGAAATGTTAAAACTTGTTATTTTTTAAAAAAATATGCTGAAGCCTGCTTTGAAGCCTTTGTTAAGAAGGATGATATGTGTGAATAAAGATCGGAGTGGCTTTTTGTGTGTTATTTCAGGATATAACTCACTTGACATGATGCATGATTTTAAAATGGTTTTAAAATGCTTTCCATATGTCATAACTAAAGGGAAGACCTTGATGCAGTAATTATTTCTTTTTTCCGATAGGCATGAAGGTCCTGTGTGGCAGGTTGCCTGGGCTCACCCCATGTATGGAAACATTCTGGCTTCGTGTTCCTATGACAGAAAGGTTATTATTTGGAAAGAAGAGAATGGTACATGGGAGAAGACATATGAATACACAGGACATGATTCCTCAGGTAGGGATATTCTTCTCCAAACTGTTTGGGTATAGAAACAGATTGCTTTAATCTTTCAGTAGGAATTTACCTATTTTGATTATGCTCATTTCTTGCTTTCCCATCTTTTTTTGGGTGCAGGCACTTCCAACTTTTAAGTGCACCCTGTTGAAGCCAATTTTGTTGCTGTCACCAGTATCTGCAGATGTATAATAATATCTTATTGCTTGTGGGATAAAGTAGCCTAGTGATCTGCAAACTAAATACCAGTTTGGAGGCATTTGTGTTGTTGTTGCCATTATAATGTTTTAATACTTAGTAGCTGCAGTTTTTTTTTTTAAAAAAAGAGGCTGTTGCCATAGCATATTAGGCTTTCATCCCATTTAAGTAGTGTAGACTAAAAAGTCAAGATTTCTATATTTTCCTCTTGTAGTTGAGTGATTCATATAACAATATAATCTCTTTCCTCGTTTTCTAACAGTCAATTCTGTATGTTGGGCACCACAAGACTATGGGTTGATCCTGGCTTGCGGCAGCTCTGATGGAGCTATCTCTTTGTTGAGCTATACTGGTGATGGACAGTGGGAAGTGAAAAAAATCAGCAATGCACATACAGTGAGTGTAGAATCATTTTGTTAAACATTTTATGTGGCAAACAAGGTGGAATATTTAAAGCATGTAGATCAAATCTTTTTATTCTTTTACTAGAATCTCAAGTTCAAATAACCTGAGTCAAAATAAACTTTTATGTGGGTAAGGAAGGAAAGGCAATGTTTCTTTAATTGGATAAATATCCATGCACTATTAAACAGAGGGAATATATTTATTGTTCAACACATAATAATAGAAAGATTACTTTAAAATGTTTTCTTAGGAAGGGTTTATAAATGAAACAAATAGGTGTTAAAATTTGTCTTTAGTTTTGCTATAAATTAGATGAAACTACATTGATTTATTTTTACATAGATTGGTTGCAATGCTGTTAGCTGGGCACCTGCTGTTGTACCAGGAAGCCTCATAGATCAGCCTTCAAACCAAAAACCAAACTACATCAAACGATTTGCATCAGGTGGCTGTGATAATCTTATCAAAATTTGGAGGTAAGTTAGCCTCAAAAATTATCTAACAGTTTTTTATAAAAGAGAGAGAGAGAGAAGAAAAGTTTGTTTTTTGCTTGTCCTTGCCGCAAAGCTACCTTTGCTTCTGGCATCTGCCAAATGATTAAATAGTTTAAAACCTTTCCTAGTTTGTCTGCAAGTCATTTTACATTTTTGCTTAGTTTATCTGCATTCATTTGTTGGGCTAGGGTGGTTATGATTCAGTGCCTCAATGAAGAAAACAATGAGTATAAAACAGAAGTGATTTTCCTTTGGGATTCAGATGCCAGTTCTTCTGGATCTTTTTTCAAGGACACTTAACAAAAACTCTCTTGATAGTCACAAGTAGCTTCAAATTGAATTGGACATTTTTGGCTTCAGAAAAGAAGAATGAGGTGTGATATGATAGTTGTTTTCAAATATCTGAAAGTGTGACACAGGGAGGCAGATTCCAACCGAATTTTAGAAAAACTTCCAACAATACAAATTTTGAAATATTGGGGTCAATTATCCAGAGTGATGATAAGTTTGCTTTCCCTGGATATGTTAAAATACAGGGTTGACCGCCTTCTATTGGGAGAATTTCTATTTCCCATATTTTGCTGGAAATTAAAGTTAATTGCCTAAAGGACATCTTGTAACTGTTAAGAATCTGTGAATTGTTATTCAAAGCAGACATAAAATAACTACATTGCAAAGGGTGTAAAACTTATCTGTTAGATTTTAGAGCAGAGCTTTTTGAAACTCTTCTCCATTCCATACTTTGATCAGAAAGTAAACAGGCCAATCCTATGACTGCAACACTTATCTGTACTAATATTGCTTTTTGTTCAGATAGCCATTTCCTTTATAACAATATATTTATCTTGGTTTTTGCCACTTTTTCTGAATCTTTATCTTCCCCCCTCCCAATATTTCCAGAGAAGAAGATGGCCAGTGGAAAGAAGAACAAAAATTGGAAGCTCACAGTGATTGGGTCAGAGATGTAGCCTGGGCTCCTTCCATAGGTTTGCCAACAAGTACTATTGCCAGCTGCTCCCAGGTAATTTTACTTTAATGTTTACCCAGTGAAGATAAAAGAGATCTGTTATTGCCTTCTATGAGATGGGTGGCATATAAGTTTAATAAATAAAATAAATCTAATATGTTATGAAAAAGCTTATTGAGAAAGTTTTAACCTTAAGCTTTTTTGGCATATTGGTTTTTAGCAAAGTTATTTTTAGTCAGCCTTTTGTAAAACAAACAGAGGGGTACTATTTATTTGAGTGGATAGTCATGTAGAATTCCAGTTCCCTATTTGTAATCTGAAGCAGTACATCCAGTTAAGACGTATATCAATGTGTTTTTAACTACTAGCATTAGAAATATGATACCCTTATGGATTGACAATTGCCAACTTGAAGCACAATTTGAATCAACTCCATGGTCATAGAGTTGTAGCTGTGGCTCTGGTGAAAGGATTTCCTTGTTAAAATGTCAGCGTCATTTAGCCATAGGAGATACATGTCTTGACAGCTCTGTTTGCCTTCTTCTAGGATGGCAGAGTGTTTATCTGGATGTGTGATGATGCCTCTGGAAACTCATGGTCACCAAAATTACTCCATAAGTTCAGTGATGTAGTCTGGCATGTTAGCTGGTCCATTACTGCAAATATCCTAGCTGTGTCTGGAGGAGATAATAAAGTAAGTATTAAAGCAGCTTGTACCTAAACCCTTTCATCAGTCCCAAGTGGCCTTTTGCTATTACCTGTTTCCTAGATTCACTTACTTATTTCTTCCAGAGGTATTAGCTGAAGCAAGGGGCTCAGTTACAACCTGTTTGATATTTGAAGTAAATCAACTTCTGTCAAACCTTCTGAAGAGACTGTGAGAAAATAGGAGCTTCTGTAAAGTATGTTCCTGGTTTATTACACTGGGATAATTAAATCTGACCTAACTCACCTTCCTTTAATAAAGAAAAAGATTGTTACCTACTCTTTCCATATCATTCAAACATTTTATAACTTCTGTTACATGCCTATTAGTCATCCCCTTTAGTTAAATCCTTTTTCTCACAAGGATTTATTGTCAGACAATAAATATAGTACTGTAATCTCTATCTGCCATCAGCATTATCTAGTATACAGCTCTTTTCTTCTTCTTCTCTCTCTTCCCAGTGCAGCTTTTATAGTTGTATACTGACTAAGAGACCACATGTAAATTGATGCAGATAAATATAACTAAGTACATATATTAACAAATCCAGCCGTTTTAAAATATTTAATATTTATCAGTCTAGCAATAGCTTTTCTTCCTTCCTGCACTATTCTCTCAAAATGGATTCTAATTTTGGAAAGCCTCCAAAGCAGAATTTGAGAGTGCTGGGGGAGTAAGGGAGAAGCTGCAGGATTCCTTGCCTGCGTACTGCTAACAAGAATAGCTTGCCTTGACCAAATAATACCTAATTAAATTTAAAAGCAAATACGTGAAGGCAGATTGTTAGCTATCAAATCTAGGACCCTTAATGAAAAAAAATTTTCAGAGCAAGGTTCATGTTGTTTGTAGACTTGAGTTCTAAAATAAAGATGGTCTTTTCTAGGTAACTCTATGGAAAGAATCAGTAGATGGACAGTGGGCATGCATTAGTGATGTCAATAAGGGCCAAGGAGCAGTATCTGCCATTACAGAAGGACAACAGAATGAACAGTGATGTCTATGATGAAGATTTCCAGTTTAAAGAAACAGTTTTTTTTCTACTTTTCTTAGTAATCCAGGTTTATTGAATACGGGCCATGTAAAATTTAATTTGTTATGAATATTCTCTTGATAAAAAAAATAAACTGTGCAATGCCTTCACCAATCTGGTATTTAATAGTTTGATGGATTATAACTTTCCTAATTCCTTGCAGTGTCTAGGAATTAGGAAGAGGATGAACTAACACATTTAGAAGGTATCAGGTTAGGGAAAGCCCCTGTAACAATTTGCTTTAATTGACACTTTTAAAATTCAAGGCAAAATCGACATGAAAAAATACTATTCCTTTTAGTATGATTTTTTTTTTAAAAAAAATATATCAGTAGTTTTTCATCATTTTACTTGAAAATTTTGGCATGCTTTCAGCTAGTATTTCTCTGTTAAAAGAGTCTAAGAGTTTCCCAGAGTAGATGTTTTAGTAATTACACTTTTTAAAACTTAGTATTTTCTCTTCTGTCAAGAACTACATGGTAGATAATTTGAACATAAGAAGAGATGGGAGCCGAAATTTATATACACTATGATCCAATACAGCGTTACCTTTGCTTTTTAGTTTGCCTTACATGAACTGAAAATGTAAATTTGATCTCTAAAATACTGCATAACTAATGTTTTGTTCTTTTGGTTTAAAAAGAGAAATAAAGTCCAATTAAAATTCACTGAATTGTTCAGAAAGAAAGTTGCTCTATGTTGTAATTATTTTGTACATTTTTCATAGTAAATTGTAATAAATTCAGAAAGTTGTTTAAGTTGGACTCATAGAATTATTTCACTCCTGTCTTAACACAGAACAGGAAGAAATTATTGAACTGCTTTGTTCATTATGCGTAAGTGATTTGCTTGCTGTTGGTTTATGACACAACATAATTATGTAATTAAAGTAATAAAAACAATAAGTGTAAGGAGGAATGGGGCAGCTTTTAAGTAGTACCAGAATAAAGAACAGAGGTGAAAAAGCATATTGTTTTTCTTAACTAATTATGTGAGCAGATGTTGTATCATTTTTATTTATATAAAAATTAAATTAGAGTTCATAGCAGCTGAGTCAAATATCTCCCTAATCCACTGAAGTATAAATAGGGGATGTACAGCACAATGAAACTTGCAAAATTGTTAGGTAGACTATCCTGAGAAGTCAATTTCACAGGAAGATTAAAACTACTTATCTTAAGATCGGCTAAAATAACAAATCCTTACAAGCCGTTTATGAACATTATCTGCCTGTTGTGGACTTGAAATACTGTATTTTTTATTATTTGTTGCTGTGTTAACAGAGCTTGCATTCCTCCATCAAGGCTGTCTTATTATTTACACAAACATCTCCAGTATGAAGCAACACAATCAATGACATATTTAAACTTACAAATTTCAGAAGTAGTATTTCGGAAATTATCAAGAGCTATGAGAACAAAGCAAATCTTCATAAATTGATACAGAAGTCCTATTTTACTCACGAGTTATTCCCTGGGAAGTGTGATAGGTCTGCAGTTTTAAGAAAGCATAAGCTAGGATGAGTGAGGGAGGTTGGGCTTTTCTAAGGCTTTTTGTATAGCGTCTATCTGTTTCACATATTTTTGTCCACAGCTTCAATGATTTGTTTAGAATTTGATTTAAATAGTGACATTTCTGTTATTTTTGGTCTACAGAGTAAAAAAGTCAGATGACTCTGCATGGAAAGCACATCCCTCTGCAATAGTATCTCTCCAGAGATACCTAATGATGTTCTGAAAATTGCAAAAACTTGGCTTTGTTATGGGTTTTGGGAGTACAGTGGCTCCTTAGGCCTTAACAGTTTTTCTTTCTGGTTTTGTCCTTCCAGATGCTTAGGATTTTTCATGATTTTTTCTGGTTTTTTTATTAAACATTACAGTTAAAAAGATAAATACTAAAATAAATTTAAAAAGAGAAAAAATAGAGAAATAGAAAAGGAAAAAGAAAAATATATAAAGACTTCCTTCTTCATCACAAGTATAAACAATTTTAGTAACTTAATCACTTTCTCTTAAAATACAACTAATTATATCTTCCTTCAATTTATCTATAAACAAAACAAAGCCTTGCTACAGTCCTGGTCAGCAAAAGTCCATTGAAGATTACTAGAGATAACAACATACATATTTTAATCTTGATCAAATAAACCAACTTTAGATTCTTTGCTTTTAACAATCAAACTCCCTTTTTATGACCCTATAACCTTGATTTTTTAATCCTTTCAAATATTTTTATCCTACCTTGAGTATGAGTAATAATAAATAAGAAGGTGAATATATCCAACACACCTTCCTCCTTATTCCCTACAACAACCCTGAGGTGAGTTAGGCTGAGACAATACGACTGGTCCAATGTTTGCCTGTTACAGAAAAAATAATCTTAAGAATTAACTATCATTATTAATGGATAACCAAGAATACATCACAAATTTAATTCTTGTGGCTTCAATTGAGCTTTTCTCTTTAATAACACTACAGTAGTGGCCAAAATTGTGGAAACCTTTTGAGAAAAGTGTATTTTCTAAAACTAGCTGATAGCACCACTTTTTTTTGTAGTACCCTAAAATTATATATCAATGGAAAGATAATCTAATCAAGATGTAATGCAATAACTTTTATGAAGGATTTGCTAGAATAGCAATATTCTAGAAAGCAGTTACACTATAAAAAAGAAAAGTGAAACGCATAGAAAAAACGAGATATACAAAAATTATCACTTCAGTTAATACTTAGTTGGGTAATTTTTAGCATGAATTACGGCCTTAAAACATTTTCCCATGGAGTGAACCAAGTCTTTTAGTTCTACAGCTGTTATGTGAAACCAAGATTGAATGATTTCTTCTATTAACTGGGTTTTATTGCAGTTTATTTATAGTCGCTTCTGACTAACAAGTTTCTTTAATCGGCTCCATAGATTTTCAATTGGGTTAGTCTGGGCTATTCCCTGGCCCTTCTAGCAGTGGAATATGATTATCTTGAACCCCCCCCCCCCCCCCCCGCAAAAAAAATAGTGGTGTTATTAGCCATCAAACCTCAAAGATACACTTTTCCGAAAAGGTTTCTACAATTTTGGCCTCTACTGTGTTAATCAGCAATCTGAAAGATGTGGGCTCTGGGGCTAAAAAGTGGTTGCTCCCCAATTGCTGACATTGGTTAAGACTGATTAAGGCAGATGGTGTGGCAAAAGAGGTAATTAAAAGATCAGGTCATCTACCATTAGGTTAGTACAGTTGCTGGGCTAATATCCACTTGAGTTAGGGTCTGGAACCAATTCATTGCCCCATCTTCTCCTGCCCACCTGCCAAGGGTCTCTTTTTCAGTTGTTTCTTTGATCAAATTTCCAAGTTGCCTCCCCCCCCCAACTCTTTTTCCAGATCCGGATACTCCTCAAATTTCCTCCAGAATTTCACTTTGGAAATCCATGATTTTGTGATGGAAAAGGCGGGGTTGGATTCTGGGGCCACTTTGTTCTTTTGAGTAGGATAATGCTGGCAGCCTTTGTTCTCCTTTTTTAAATTATTTTATTTTAATCTTTCATCTCCAAACTCCGCTCGGGTTAATCACCACTGTAAGAGTGCTTGAATTACTGTCCAACAAGTTTGATCAATGGTTACTGCTAATACAAGGTAGTCCTCGGCTTAAAATCACTTGGTGGTGGCAAAGATAAAAAATGCCCATTTGGGAGAATGGATTCAGACTCGCAGTTGTGATATTCATTTCACTGCCATAAAAAAAGTTGGGTCTGGTCATGTCCCGCCTCAATTTATGATCACAATGACTTACAACCAGGATTCTGGTCCCAATTGTGGTATTTAAGTCAAGGATTGTCTGTATAATAATCATTTTTTTTGCATTTTTTTTTTTTTTTGCTTCAAACCTATTTCAAGATCTGATCCCTAAGACTAGGTTATATCAGGGTTTTTTTTGTCTTTACCCCATTTATTAGGCTTCACACCAGGGATGAGCAGTAAGTTTCTCATCTCCAGATGTTGAACCCTTAATTCAACTCTCAAGAAACTCCAGACCCAATTCAAATTAGATTAATCTTTAGTGGAGACAACCTTCCGTAAAGTAGTGCAAAGTTATATTACTGGTATCTATTCTAGGCTTCTGCATCCTAAAAATTGTGAATTAATGAAAGATTTCTTAATGGCCTTTAGAAACAACATATTGATAAAACAGCTCCTCCAGGATGGTACAACAGGCACAAATATTCCGCAACGAATTAGAATGTTTTTTCCTCAAGTCTATTACTTTTTGATTTAGACCTCCAGTTTTTTAATTGAATTTTATACATTCGACTTTAAAGAAAAACAAAATCATTTTGCCTAATTTTGTAATCTAAACAATGTTGAGTATATTATCTGTGGTTTGTCATCTCAATTTGGGAAGACCAAGACAAGTGGACACATTTGCTCCTTTTGCAATCCACAATCCCAATGAAATAAACTGCAACTTACTTAAACTGGATCCCACTCAATTTATGGAAATAATTTATTGCACATGTATTGATAATTGTTAACCTACACCATTTTTCTATTCTCACTTTGTTTCTGAATGGCCCTTTTATTCAAGCATCATTATGAAGGCCACATAAAATTTCCAGCTTTGGAGGCAGCATTTGAAGAACACCAGTTTGAAGAAAGCAACAATCAGTTACTTCCCAATCCCAATGTCTTCTGATTGGCAATGAAAAGGAGAAAGATGCTTGAATAGAAGAGCCTTTAATCAAAACTTACAGTAATTTTAGGAGGGAAAAAATCTTGTGAACAAGGCCGTCTAATTTTACTGCTATATTGCTACAGTTTGATATCTTGCTCATACTAGTAAAAACATAGCTTCCAATCTTTGTTTCTATGTTGCTGGCTCTTTTATGGCATATTTCTGTAAAATGTTTATATTAACATAGAACTAAGAACTCTGGTTACATGTGCAAAATATAGAAAAAATTAACTGCTGTTCTTTCACCCCTCAAACAAGCAACCTGAGAAATGAATCATTGGAGGCTTTTAAAAAGAGACTGGACACCCATTTGTCTGAGTGATATACAGTCTCCACCTTGAGCAGGGGGTTGGATTGGGAGACCTCCATGGTCCCTTCCAACTATGTTATTTTGAATTTTGAAGCACAAGATTCTGCATAAAATAAATTGGCATTCTTTAATTAAATTGTTCTAAATATTGCTCTATGGCGCTGTTTAAAATCTAATAATTCTTGATTCCAGAATGTGTAACTATATATTTGGTAACTAAGGTTTAGCATAAAAACAACCCTAAGCTGTTGAAATAAAAAGCAAATACTGAAGGAGATACTGAATGACAGAAAAGGAAAGGAATAACCCCCTAAATAGCTCTTAAAACAAAATTATAAAATGAATTTATCTATATACCACCAGCCTCATGCTTTGGAGCCAAAAAGGAAAACGTATTAGTTTATTACAAAATTCCAAAATCAAAGAGGTAAGTATGACCTTGTAGGAAAATACATTTTTGTTCTTAATCTTGTTGCATTCCTTTAGCATATTTGCTAAATATGATAGTATCATAGTCATTCCTTCTTAATGTGTACACCTTGAACATACATGCAAAAGGAGAAAAAAAACTATTTAAAAATCTACTTTTACAAACACTGTGAAACATATTTAATAATATGACCAAAAGTATCTACAGAAATAAATTTTAAAGATAAAACACACAGCTGCTTTGAAGACAAAGGAATGTTTCTTTTCATTGTTATTGACTACAAGATTAATTTCTGCTTTGCGGAGATGATTAATTGTAAGAACACTGATACAAAAATAATTTATTGACAAATAAATTGTTTAAAATCAAAGTAATGCATAAAATTATAGAATCATATAATCACTTCCCTAATTAAGAACTCTGAAGAAATTAAAAATGAACAAATTCAAATAGAAATTAAAAGTCAATTAGTCTTTCATGAATACTCTTGATACCCTATTTTACTCCCTTAACTTTGTTTCATTAACCTGCATGCATGCAGGTATTTTTCACTTCAGCATAATGCAGCTAGGGAATTTCTGTAACTTTCAGTAAACAATATTTGTGTCTCTTTAAAAAATGATTTATCATTTACTTTTTTTCTGTGAAGAGTGAATGGGTTAGTATGTTGAAAAAAATTGATCAGAAACAGGAAATACATTTCATTACATCTTTGAGATTATTTTTACATGTGTGTTAGATAAATGGGTAATGTTTTTATTGCAGCAGTTAGGTCGGGTGTTGACAACCCATGGCCCCAGAGCCGCATACGGCTCTTTGACCCCTCTCCTGCAGCTCCCTGCTGACCCGGTCGTGCGACATGCTCTCTGCCCCGAGAAGGCGCAAGCCTCTCCACAGAGCCATGTGGCTGAAGCACTCCTAGCATTTTCTCCACACTGCCCGCAACCAGCTTATTGTGATTCCATGTCCTTCACGGGCAGCTCAGCACCAGCTGCGGTCCCCTTTGTGCCAGCTCAGGAAGGAGGGGAAGGGGAGGAGCAGCTGCCACTGCCAGATTCAAGGAGGTAAGAACTCTGGCTCCCCCCCTGCGTAGCGCGGGCTGCCCACTGCACTGCACGCTACTCACCTCACTGCGCAGTGGCAGCAGCGGGAGGAGTCGCCATCCCCGCTACCGCCGTGATCCCGGCCCAGGAAGATATTCCGCTTGGGCACACACGTGAGAGAGGGAGAGATGAGAGAGAAAAAAGGGGAGAAAAAGAGAAGCAGAGCAGCCACAAGCGGAGGTGAGGGGCAAAGAGGATCACCTCTCTCTATGAATTCTGCCCATTGTTTGAGATCTGACAGAGTTGGTATTATCTGGTTCCTGTTCTACAACTAGTAGAACTCAGGAAGCAGTATTTATTTATTTAACAAAGAAAGGAAGGAAGGATGGAAGGGAAGGAGGGTGGAAAGAAGGCATGAAGGAAGGCTGGAGAGAAAGAGAAGGGAGGGAGGGAGGGAGGAAGAGAAAGAGGAAAAAGAGAAACAATTGAGAAAGAGAACGGGGAGAGAGAGAGGAAGAGAGAAATGAGAGAGCTAGAGGGAAAGAGAGGATGAGAGAGGGACGAAGAATGAGGAGAGAGAGAAAGATGAGAGGGAGAAAGAGAGATGAGGGAGGGAGAGAGAGAGAGAGATGAGAGGGAGAAAAGAGAGAGAGATACTGGTTTCCCATAGAAAATAAAACACCAGGAACCACAAAACCTGGCTGGGTAGTTGTGGCTGGGTGGGGGGGGTCATGTGATTGGGTGGGAGTGAGTGATGTCAAGTTGGCCACACCCGCCCAGGTTTTGTGGCTCCCGGTGTTTTATTTTCTGTGGGAAATTGGTCCAAATGGCTCTGAGTGTTTAGGATTGCAGACCCCTGAGTTAGGTGATTTGCTGCTCAGAAGAAATACTTAAATTTAGCTTGATAATTTTAAGAGCACTTTAGGTTTGTTTCTGTTTTCTTTTTGAAAAATTAAAATACTGACAGTTTGTGCCCCAAAGGATTAACAACTAAAAAATCAAAACTCTTCAAATTAAAATCAACACCGAGGCACATTAAAGAGCAGGAACATGTAACAGAATTGAAGGAATTAAAAAAAGATATTAAAGGATATTCTAAATCCAGATCTATATTTACATTACAAAATAAATTTAAAAGGATCAAATCAACTTTACAAAAGCATTTCCTCTTCAGTTCTTCCCTCTTCTCTTTGCACCTTCTTACAAGTTATAAATTTTGTTGGTGTTTCGTCTTAGAACAGCTAACATGACAGGTAATGACACCTCTTTGAGACAGGCAATCTCTTTCACTGTGTGCAGAGCTACACCAGGATGAGAAAACCGGCTAACACTTTTTGGCACCTAGGAAAAAAAGGAGCTTTAGACAAAGAACAGATTTCAACTCTATGCACAAGTACTGATCAGAAAGTAGGTTTAACAAGTAACAAATGATTACCGTATTTCTTGCACTATAAGACACTCCGGACCATAAGACGCACCTAGCTTTTGGAGAGAAAAAAAATCTGCCTCTGCCTCTGCCTCCCAGCATCCATCAGTATTCATCTGGCTAATGTCCTTGCAGCAAACAGCAAACAGCCTGGTCAGCTTCAGCACATTATCGCAGCCTGATTTACCACGAGCAGCTGATTGGCGGTTGGATTGGCCTCCCAGAATACCACCGATGAGCTGTTCCAGACTGCCGATCGCCAGTGGTGAACGGTGGGGAGTGGCGGCAATCTCCGCCACTTATAATGGGCTGAAAACGGGATGCATGGAAGCTGAAAACGGGGTGCGCGTAAACCGAAAACAGGGCACACAGAGGCCGAAAACGGCCGAAGAGTGGGGGCCAGCAGGTGGGTGGGGCTTCAGCAACATTCGCTCTATAAGACACACAGACATTTCCACCCACTTTTTTTGAGGGGGGGGGAGTGTGTCTTATAATGCGAAAAATACGGTATATCTGGTGTTAGATGTAACCCTTTCTATAAGATATGTCTTTCTACTGTTGCAAACAAAGAGTTTTTTTTTTTATTAACAATGTGTATAGCAACATGTAAAAAACCATGCAATTGCTAACAGACCTATTTACTCATCTCCTTTTACTGGTAGAAAGATTGACATCTCTTCCAAAAATGTTTTGTTATCAATATATTAATGAGCAACTGATAGCAATTTCAGCCTCAAGTTTCACTTCTCTTACAGCAGGGGTCCCCAACCTCCAGGCCACGGCCCAGTAGTGGGCAGTGAAATGTTCATCACTGGGTTGTCTGAAGTGGGAGGTGAGACAGGGCGCATCCCCACTTGCGTGAAAAGTGAGCATGTGTGGGTACGCTCTATTTGCGCAAACGATGGGCAAGTCCACCACTAGTGCAAATGGAGTTGTGCCTGCACACATGCTTGCCCACTAGAACCATCCCCGACCCCCACCGGCCGAGTCACAAAGCTGGGAAGGTTGGGGAACTCTGTCTTACAGCATTTAGTTACCCTCAAGTTCTCTGCCTATGAAATTTTTCAGTTTCTATCCTCCTATATATGTATGGCTAAAACAATTATCATTCCTAAGTCCACAAAACAACTTCTTGTCATCCCACATGAACCACTATTATTTCCAAGATATTAATCTGAAATTTTGCCTTCATATGTGCTACTAAGGGTAGTGGCAATGTATTAAGTTAAAATAGTTTTAATGTCCAGCAACGTGCTTTGCAATCCCTTCTAGCAGTAGAATTTAACCTGTTTCTACTAAGAAATCTACAATAACTTCATTATATAACAGTTCTAAGGGTTTTAGAACACATTAAATATTTAACAATATATTGCATATAGAAACATGGAATAAGGAATTAAAATTTTTGATATGTTCTATTGTGACATATGACTATATTATTACTAATAGATTGTTACTGTTATTTATAATTATATCTATGTATCTTTTTGGGGGGGAAATGTTAAGAGATGTGGTGTTCAAAATGCAATATTGTTTCATATGATTTGGTATATACTCTATGGCTGTCTTTGACAGATGTTATTTCACAGAAGCCATGGTGGCACAGCGGTTAGAATGCAGTATTGCAGGCTGACTCTGCCCACTGCCAGGATTTCGATCCTGACTGGCTCAAGGTTGACTCAGCCTTCCATCCTTCTGAGGTTGGTAAAATGAGGATCCAGATTGTTGAATGCAATATGCTGACATTTGTAAACCGCTCAGAGTATGCTGTAAAGCACCATATAAGTCTAGGTGCTATTGCTGTAATACTTTCGTTCTTCAAGACTCATTAGTTTTAGGAAACATTTTCAGGCAGTCCTCAGTTAACAACCATTCATTCAGCAATCGTTTAGTTACAGTGAAGATGAACCAATGTAACTTGCTTGGTCCTCTAAATTTATGGTTGTTGCAGAGCTTCCATGACTACATAGTCAAAATCTGGGTGCTAGGCAGCCTATTCAGACTTACAACCAGAGGGGCACTTCTCCCATATGCCTATTTCCCCCCCCCGCCCCCCATCTCTGCCCTTTTAACTGTCCTGCACAGCATCATTCTTCAGCAGTGGTGGCACTGCTGGAGCTGAAATAGAGGAACAGGGCTTTCAGCAGTCTCAACTGACTATTACCACCCTTGGGCCTCTACTTTAGCCCCGGTACTGCTATCCTAGTTGCTGAAAAGTGTCGCCTCAAGCCCCAGGCCACAGCCAACCAGTGCTTAGTCGCAGCCATTCCATGCTCCACAGGCCCTGCGTGCCCACTTGATCTTTGCCACCTTCCTCCTGCTGGTGACAAGGCACACCCAACCAGGTGCTATGTGAGGCAGCTGCTGGCCATGCCAGATCTTCTTCTCAAAGCCATGTGATGCTTCTCCAAACTGTGTGATGCCTCCTCATTATGCTTCAGAAAGACTCTGAGGCCTTTTGAAAAATAGTGAAGACATCGGGATTTGGGGGAAGTGTGGGCGCAACTTTCTCGTGAGCTTTTGGAAGGCCTCAAAATCTCTTAAAGAATCTTGAGGAGGCAGCATGCAGTTTGGAAAAGTGTATATGTAGCCTCGGAAAGAAGGTTTGACATGTCCAGAGCAACTTGAATACCTTGCTGGGAGCAGCAGGGCTTGTGAAGCACAGATTGGTGGGGACAGCTGGGGTTTCTGCTGTGGGGCTGGTTGTGGCGCAGGGCTTGAGGTTTGGCACTCTCTGATGGTGCTAGCAGTGCTGCAGCATTGCTGATACCACCATCCCCGCTGCCAAATGCTGTCCTGCAGGGGGGCAAAAAAGACAGAGATGGGGAGAAGATGGGTGAGGAATTAAGAGGAGACAGTCCCTGACTTTATCAAGGCTTCGGTCGGAGATGGACCAAACTGGGAATAGCTTGGATCAGGGTGGCTCCTCACATAACTACTCGTGGTATTTGGTTAATGACAGCAACAGAAACTGCTGGTATTGCTGTCTCTAAGCAATGCAGTCAGGTGACATTGCACTTTATGACATCAATTATTGACAGAAATTCCAGTAAATATTTCTGTTTAATTGAGGACTACCAGTATGTTCTTCCACCTATGATGCTTACATTCTATCTGTTAGAGTTCCATTTGGATTAACTGTTCAGAAATTTGAACTATCAATACTCATTGAGGTATTGAATTATTTTTCCTACTAAGTAAATTGATTTAATAATTATGTAACATTAGCACAAATGAACAGGGCCTTGGTGGAGCAGCAAACTAAAGTGCTGTTAAGTAGCACCAGCTGCCTGCAATTACTGCAAGTTCAAATCTCACCAGGCTCAAGGTTGACTCAGCCTTCCATCCTTTCGAGGTAGGTAAAATGAGGACCCGGATTGTGGGGGCAATAAGATGACTTTGTATAAAAAAGAACACTGCTTAGGGGGGGCCAAAAGCCCTACTAAGCAGGTATATATAAGAGCCTTGGTAGTACAGGGGTTTAAGGCACCCTGTTATTAAGCTTATTAAGACCAGCTGCCTGCAATTACTGCAGGGTTCGAATCTCGCCAAGGCTCAAGGTTGACTCAGCCTTCCATCCTTTCTAAGGTAGGTAAATTGAGGACCCAGTTTGTGGGGGCAATAAGCTGACTTTGTATAAATATACAAAAGGATGAAGGCTATTGCTGAGCACATTGTAAGCCGCCCTGAGTCTCCGGAGAAGGGCGGCATATAAATCAAATTAAAAATAAAATAAAATAAATATATATATATACAAAAGTATGAAGGCTATTGCTTAACGCATTGTAAGCCGCCGAGTCTCCGGAGAAGGGCAGCATATAAATTGAACCAATAAATAAATAAATAAATAATATACCATGGATTCGGAATAATTTCATTTAATATATAAACTATGTAATCGTTAAGGGCCATTTTGCCTCTGCTTTATTTATTTGCATATCATAAAAATTCAGCAATGAAGGCAGAATTAAATTTAGATCTACTTTTAATTCTATTTAGTACTGCTACAAATACACTGATTTCAGTTTTTACTGGATATGGAAAGCTTTGAACTAATAGAATCTTTTGGTGCCTGTAATATTGTAATATATTTGTTATCAATCTTTTGTTACAGTTTTCCGAGATATCACATGCATCAACTACAAATCAAGAGAAAAAGTAATCTGTCAGCTTTTTCACATTTCAAAATCTCATTTTCTATCCGAGGACTTTCCCTCTCAAAAACAAAAAATTCCACTTATGTTAATTCAGTATAAATAGTGAATGGATAATGGATGTTTTAAAAAACGATCTTACCTGCCGAGGAAGGAAATAAGGTGCATCTGTTTCTACCACTATTCTATTTAATGGAATTTTTCGAACAGATTCTCTAGCCTCATTTGCTGATGGGTAAGACAGCAACGCGGTGAATCCAACAGTTAGATTTGGAAAGTAGTCTAAAAGTGGTTCAATGACACTATACCTGCCAGTGAAGCAATGCCTATGAAGGGATCAAAAATAAGGGTCATCCCACTATTTCAGATGAATAACCAGTAACAAGAAAACATTAATGAAGGTCATATTAAATATTTATGTAGCATGGTAGCTGCCATTTCAGTAATTCTTTTTTGGTATGAAAACCTTTAGTCAAAATTATCTTGAATAGAAACAATTATTTATGGAATCTTATTTCAATGAAATTCTTTCATTCGGATTATGGTTTCATTTTCAGCTTTGATTTGTGAGTTAGAAGAATCACAAATCACATGGAAAAAAATATTTGATGCTTAGCTGTCCATAAAATGTAAGATCATGGCAACTGAAATCTCTTAGTTTCTAGAATTTTTCAAAGGTGTTGTCTACACCTCATGATAGTATTCTAATCAGGCAGTCTGTTATTCCCTTCAAGATTCAATTACTGGGGGTTTTTTTAATAACAGGAATGATACAATTTAAGAATACAGTACAATTACCTGTGTATTTTGTAGTCTTTTGGTACACATTTTTTCATGATTTCTAACAGATCACCATCAGCATCTCTGCAGTGTATAACCAATGGCTTCTTTAAGGAAACAGCTAGATTCAGTTGCCTCTCAAAAACCTGAAGCAAGTAAAAAGCAGCACACCTTCAAAGGCCATTACAACTGCCCTGAGAACAAAAGTAAGACATGGGGGAAATATGCTAGCATTAAGCACAGCCTTTTATAATGTAACCAAACCAAAGCATTTTATGAATACCTAAATACAAGAAATAGTGGACTGTTTTCAGTTATTCATCACGTTTACCATTTTAGGACAGCATTATATATATGGTATTTCTTTGGAAATAGCTCTTCACGATGATTCAACAACCCATTCTGAAGTTAAAAAAAAAAGGCTCTGAATTTGTCACAACGATTCAACAATCCACTCCAAGAGTAAAAAAAGATTCTGAATTTGTAATGTTCTGACTTTAGGTTTGAAACTGATAGTTTGAGCTGTAACTGGGGCCATTTAAGCTCAGAATATTGTTGGACATTGCCAGCAAGACCAAGAGTTGCTTTGAACTTGAAACAGAGCAACTTGATTTCAAAATTTGGCATTTGAGTTCAAAACTTTTTGGACACTTCTGCAATCCACCACTCATTGTTTATTAAAACCATTATTACTTTCAGTGGTCTGACAAGGTATTTTATCTAAAGCCAGTTAATCAATGCAATTACTGTTTGGTACTACACAATTATAAAGTATCTTAACAGAGTTTAGTATAAAAATTTACCTTATGCTGCTTTGAAATGTCTGTACTACATTTGTGAGAGTAATCCAGTCCTATTTCGCCAAAGGCAATCGCTTTGGGGTGTCTCATTGCCTGCAGGAGATTTCTTTCATGAAGTTCTGTGTAATAACGAGCAAAGTGCGGATGGCAGCCAAATGCCCCCCAGACCATGTCTTCTTTTAATAAATCTTCCCACAAGTTGTTTTTTAAAGTACGAGGATCACAAAAATCAGCTATACAGCCCTGAAATTCTTTAGGAAAAGTGCTACTATACATTTTCCTAAATTCAGAAAAAGTGCCTCTGAAACCTGTTTTTGAATATAACATGTCCAAATGACAGTGAGTGTCAATAAATCCTTCTTCTAAATATTTGGGCAAGCTCCTAGGAAAATTCTGGTTTACACAATTACTCGTGAAAGAGTCCGACTTGCGTGATGAGGAGAAGATGGGAACATATGCTCCTATTTCCATACTGTGGCGTCTTTTTTTCTCTTTATTGTCCAGTAACGAACCATATGACCACTCTCTCTCTTGCATACTTTCCACTGAAGGTTTTTTATCCTGCGTTGTATTCACTGATCTTTCTAAAGAAATATCACAGAGATTATTGGAATACGAGGTGTTTTCAGTGAGGCTTGAAAAAGAATGTGTTGGCTTTGGACTACTTGTCCAGTATTTTGCATAATCATTCATTTTCTGACTGTATAAATGAGGAGGATACATCACAAATTCTGTTGTTGACAATGACATTTCCTTCGGTTCTGAAAGACTGTGGTTAGGGATGGAATCTTCTTGTGAAAAAGTAACCAGTGGTTCTCCATCTTCTGTGTCAGACCAATTATTTTCAGCTGAAAGCTCTTTCTTGGGCTCCATACACTGAAAAAAAGGGGAAGGATCCATTTAAGATGAGCATAAAAATAATGATGAAATTTATTCAAAAATCTATTTTTTTCTATAACAATATTTAAAATGACAGCCATGTTATTTTTTCCCTCAGCAGCTTCTGGTACAGTATATCCAATTGACTTGACTGTACCTAACCTTTCCAAAATGTCCCAGTGCAAGACAATTTTCCAGTAGGCCAATACAATCTTCCCATTGACCTCCTTCCTTCTCTCACCTGAACTGCTGATAGTCTTACTAAGCATCTAAAACCAGTTGTTCTAAGAGTTTACTTTGAACACTATTCTTATTGGGGATGCTACAGTTCTATAAGGAAGTTATGACTATTCTCATAGTAAAAAAAGGACAGTTAAAATTGCTGTAGTAATTTTTAAAAATCCCATCTAATGTCAGATTATGTCATTAAGGCAAATAGTTGGAAGTAATATAATTCATTGAGTGTAACCCATTCTGAATAATTTAGGTCTACTAAGGACTTCAGACTAAAATATATATATTCTTAATAACTTTTTATCAGAAAGTCTTAAAAAATCATGCAACTTGAAAACCCCCAGGAAAACTAATATAGTCTCAAAATGAAGCTAATTTGTGAATGTATGTTTGTCAAATATAGAAATAACATTTCAATAAAAAATATAGATCTTCTGTGTATCTGGAATCACATTTCCATTTACCATTTAAATCTCCCACAATGGTGCCACTTCCTAAAGTCTACATAATTAGAATCCCTATTTTATCAATTAAAGCGACTCTCTTGGATACTTAAGTCTGCTATAATTCTTGCACTATCTATGTAAAGAATAATGAAAAGCTAAGGGCATTTTAGAACATTTCCAGACTAAGTTGTAAATGTATTTTCATTCAATTTAGGTTTTTTAGATTTGGTTAAAATAGTGACATTAATACTATTTAATAATTATGTTTTTTTAAAAAAAAATAACCTTCTAATAGATTAATGTTTTACCTTTTGATCTGTTTCTGAATCATCCATAAACACAGATTCTTGAGAGGATTCAACAGTAACAGTTGTCTGGAAATTCACAAACTTCTCTGTGGCATCACTTTGTGCATTAGATGAAGTGGAGGAAATACATTTGTCTTTTGTTATGTTTTTTTGTTTTGCAGAAGCACTAATGCCTTTTATAAGAGCTTTCTGATTGTCACTTTTCTGCTTGGTCTCTTCAGCTTCACATTTTGAATTTCCAACTATGCTTCTCAAGTGGGTTTCTGATTTCCATTTTTTTATTTTACTTTGGCTAGCAAAAATATTACCATCAGAGATTTTGCTTAGCTGTTTAGGAGAGACTTGCTCATCTTTTTGCTCTCCAATTTGTGAACAGCTAGACTTGCTTTTAAATGTGTGCTCTGAGCGACTATTTTCTTTCTTTGTTTTATTCTGCCCAACATCTATTTTTTCTTTTACTGAAACCTGCGAATCATCTGATCCCTGATAAAGTTCTACTTCATCTTCATAACTTGATTGTATGTGAACGTACTTGGAAATAACCACTGGTTTGGAAAATTCTCTTGTGTTACACTTAGTTTTATTTTCTCTTTTTGTAGCTTTTTCAACATTGGAATCTTCTTGCATATCAAGTTCATCCTCAAGTCTTGACAGTCGATGACTTTGCTTTGACCTAACCAAAGGTTTGGCAAGTTCTCTTATGCTATACTTAGAACATTTGTCTTCTGTTTCTTTAATAATCTTCTTAAAGCTGGAAGCCTGTTGAAGTTCCAATTCATATTCAGATTTTAATCGTTTATGTCTATGTTTTGAATCATGCCTTGGTTTGGAAACTTTAACACTATGCCCAGTTTTACTATCTGTTTTTGTAACAGCTTTCTCAATATTGGGATCCTGTTGAAAATCAGTTTCATGCTCTGATCTTGATACTGTAGAAATTTGTGTTAATCCAGTTCCTGGTTTAGAAATCTCTTTTGTACTGTACTTCAAAGTTTTATTTTCTTTTTTTGTAGTATCTTTTTTGAAGTTGGAGTCCTGCTGAAGTTCTGGTTTTTTTTCAAATCGCAAGTCAATTTTTTTTTCAAATCGCAATTCTGCAGAGCTTTCTGATTTCAAAAAAACCTTCTGAATGTTGGATTCTTGTTCTTTTTCTTCTGAACTTGACATTAGAGATACATGTCTTGAAGTGCCATCTGACCAACATGATTCTTTATTGCCTTGCTTAACAGAAATATTAATACGTTCCTTTGGTGCAGTTTTCAAGCAATGTGATTTGTTTCCAGTTTGTTGCTCTTTAATTTCTGATACTACCGAAAATTGTCTCAGGTTGTTAATTGAGCCAAGTTCCTCTTCTTTAGAAGGGCTTTCCTTATGAATTCCATTTAGAGATGGAGGTTTTCTTCGGGCTTGCAACTGTCCCCCCAATATACTCAGCAGAGCTTTACGATATATTAGTCGAGGTCCCTCATCCTGATCTTGGCCTTTTATTCTTTTCCGGCCACATTCAGCCGACTTTTCTTTTAAAGCACTTTTTCTTTCAGGGACTGCTGCAATATTTATTCTTGCATCACTGCAATCTTCTTGCTTGATCTAAATAGTAAAGAGTAAGGTAAGCTTCATAAATTGTAAGTAAAAGCCAACCACAAAACTATTTAGCTCACACTAGGTTAGGCATCAATGGCCATGTTCATCAGCAATAATAATACTGAGATTTGAAGGAATTACTGTTTACAGGCCATACATTATATGGTGCTACAGAAATGCTTTTTCCTCTTACTTGGCTCCTCACACCATCAGGACTAATCCTGCCAGAATTCGAAACTTGCCATGTCACCAGGGCTCCTGGCAATCTATTCTTAAAAACGAAACTGCAAATCAACATTTATTCTTATGTTTACAATTACTTACTACAAGGGCTGTAACCAGACAAAATAATTTAGATTATAACATAAACTATCAAACTGAGCTTAAATGGACTCCACAGGATGGTAGAGGACAGGAGGGCCTGGAGGAATGTTGTCCATCGGGTCAAGATGGGTCGGACACAACTTTGCAACTAGATAAGTTAAATGTTTCTGCTGGTGGGAACAAAATTGTTAGAGGAGTGAACTCATTAAAAAAATCTAATATTTATTAAAGACTGTCAGAAAAAATATATATATCCAGGATATATAATTTAAAAATATTTTTGAAGGCTAAATGAGAAAGCTAAATACTTTAAAAAAAATACAAAATGAAAGCCTAATGACTGGATAAAAATGGAATTATCCCCCAAAGGAAACGAAGGTTATCAAAATACAGCATAATGTATTTTAGTCAACTATGGGATTTTTGAGGCCATTCATCACTAAACCCTTACAAAGCAGCACTGTATAACAAATAACTGCAGAGTGATTAAAAAAAAAATCTAATAATCAACAGCAATATCTATATTCTAATTTCCTCTCCAACTACTTTTACTCAGCAATTTCGGTTGCTACTTGACATACCTTCAGTTTCAGGGATTCCCGAGGGGAAAACGCCACATTTTTCGTCGTCATATCGGAAGCAGCGGGCTTTGTGAGGAAGGTTTTGCTGAGGACAGGAGGCTCTTGCCCACCACCGCTGATGTCATCGTCTACTTCAAATTCATCAGAGGAAGAATCCTCGGCAGCGAACGAAGTTCGGGAGAACTCCCTGCACGAAAACGCCGGGGAGAAGACTCGAGTCTTCCCAAACTCGGCCGTCCCGCTGCCGCAGGGACTCCCGCGGGGAGGCTGGGCCGGTGCTTCGGTGAACTTGCCGAATTTCGCAGGTGAGCTTCCAGCGAAGCCGTCCCACTCGATTTTGCGTCTCCTGCTCGGCTGCATCGGAGCTAAATTATCTGGATATTAAAACGGGGAAGGGGTGGTTAGAAAAGGCCGTTTTTAAACACATTTCCGCTTGGCTGGTGCAGTCGCTTTATTTAAAAAATATGCTGCGGGTATTCTTTTTTAAAAAAAAAAAAAAAAAAAACCTCGCATCAGCCGAAAATGCAAATAAAAGGCCCATTAGAGAATATTCCACCACACCAAGGTTCTCCCACCTTTATACGCGCGCCCTCGGATAAAACGACCGTCAACAAAAGCCATCTTTAACGCCAAAATATGGGCGAGGGGGCGCGGATCCGCTCAGCAGCAGAGCGCCACGGCTCTTCCCCGGGCCCCATCTCAGGGGCGCCAGGCGAACCCACCCTCCAGCCTCCTCCTGCGAGAGCCGCAACCCCCGGGGTGAGGTGGGGGGAAAAGACAGGCGGAGGACCACCCTAGCAATGGCCAGAAGGGGACTTCGCGGCGAGCCCGAAAGGAGGAACGGCAGGTCGCACACAACCTTCTTCCAGGCCTTGGGGACGGCCACCTCCGCCGCTAAACCGTGCCCGCTCATTGGTCGATTCCAGCCGCCTCCGCTTGCGAGGCCCGCCCTTTGACGACTCGGCCGCTTGGATCCCGCTTTCCGATACCTTCTCGCGGCCTCCCTCTCGCCGCGCGCCACCTCCCCCCCCCCACCCGCTGGGAAGCGCCTCCCTCAAAAAAAGCGTCGGGGATTGCGAAGGGGGGGCTCGGAAGCCGCGAAGCTGAAAAAGCTGGCTTGCCTTGGGAGGCCTGAGCCTGGAAGGGCGGGGCTTTAGTTTCAGGTCACGTGTGTGCTCGAATGGCAATAGGTGTGAGGCGAACGGCCGCTCCGGAAGCGGCTTCTTGGAAAGTGAAAGTAAATGGTCGTTTTTGTCCCAAAGGTGCTTTTTCAAGAGGCAGCTGGACTTTCTTTGAGGACGTTTCGCTTCTCATCCAAGAGCTCTCCTTCAGAGCTGAAGAAGCTTCTTGGATGAGAAGCGAAACGTCTCTTCAGAGATAAACCAGAAAGTCCAGTTGCCTCTTGAAAAAGTATCTTTGGTCAACCATGACCTGGATGACTGAGAATCTCCATAGACATGGTAGTTTAAACCAGGGGTCTCCATCAACCTTGGCAACTTTAAGACTTGTGGACTTCAACTCCCAGAAACTGGCTGAGGAATTCTGGGAGGTGAAGTCCACAAGTCTTAAAAAGTTGCCAAGGTTGGAGAGCCTTGGTTTAAAAGCCGAACAGGCGTAAAACTTAACCTGTGACGTCGCTTTGAGAAGTCAGGACCCCACCTGCTTTTGCTGTCCTCCCCTCAAGGAACCGTGCGTGACTTAAAGGGACAAATGAGAAACCCCTAAGAATGCAGTTGCGATTAATTTACTATGAGAAAAGGTTGCACTTGCACAATGTGCTAAGATAAAATCAATAAGAAACCAGCCCTCAAAAAATCGTAAGATGTTCAGTACTTAGCCTTTAAACGTTTGCTCAGGATGTTTCACATAAAAAAAGGATGGAGGGGGGTTCCCATCCTCCTCCATAAATCATAAATATCCTGCCCAACAGACTTCTTTGCTCTAACTAATCTTGCACTTGCTGAGAGTACAGATAATAAAGCAGGGATCTTCTTTCTGCTTTAAGAATTTCCATGTAATATTACATCATTGTGCAGTATTGTACAGAGTACAGTATTGAGGCTACTGTGTTAGAACAACAGAAGAAAAAGATTTAGGTGTTGCTCACAGCAGATGGTTGCAAGTGAGTAAACAGAGTGACCAGGCAGGTGTGAAGGCAAACAAAAGTCACTAAGGGGATGACCACCATGAAAAGGAGGTCCTAATCCCGCTATATAGGACTTTAAGTCATACCCCATTTGGAATACTGTGTCCAGTTCTGGAGACCTTGCTTAAAAAATATATTGATAAAATTGAGCAAGTCCAGAGATGGGCAACAAAAATGGTGCAAGGTCTGAGGGACAAAACATCAGGAAAGATTGGAGGAATTGAATATGTGTAATCTGGAAGACAGAAGGGAAGGGGGGAGGATGATTAAAATCTTTAAATATAGTAAGGGTGTTATAAATGCTCAGTTTGGATACTCCTGCTATAGGCCAATGGACAGAACAACACTGTTGCCAAATTTGGAGAAAAAGCAGAATTATTCTTCCTTCTCTTCTTCCAAGCACTATTTCTCTATTTCTGCAATGTCCTCCTCTACAGAAAGCTCCTCTGCCTACCTCAGTGAAATAGGACTAATGATGCCTCCAACTGGCATTCAGATAAGAGGAATTTCCACACTGTTTATTTCAGGTCTCTGATAAAGGGGGACAGAAGAAGCAGTGGCAGATTACCTTACAAGAAACAGCTAGGAATACCAACAGCTAGGAATACTATATATTTGAGTGTAGTCATTTAGAGTAAGTGGAAGCCATATAGTCTCATATATAGTTTTTGAGACGTTTTGCTCTCAGAATCACTTCCCATTTTAAAAAATTATGGAGAACTCCAAAAGAGCTTTTGTTTATATGAGTCATATTTATCACCATTTGCTGTATTAAAAATTAAAACTGGACAAGTTTATAGAATATTTATTTATTGAATCATGTAAAAATAATATTAATGCCATTAGATAGTAACAAATACTTTTAGGAAAATATTTTTAACAAAAATAAGTAAAACATGACATTGCTTTTCCAAATATTTTTAATATCTGGCAAATTTTGATTTCATGGACCCCCGAGACGGTCTTAGGGGGGATTCCTCAGTGTCCTTAGATCACGCTTCAAGAAACTCTGATATAGAAGAATAATAGTACATTAGTAGTATGTTCTTCATGCTTCTTGCAACTAGTTTTAAAAACCTCTGAATCATTATTACATCAATTTAATAAATATAACATATTATGTTATTAAATGTATATACTGCCCATCTCACTGTGAAGCAACTCTTTAAAAATTTCTTAAATAAAAACAAGAGATACAATAAATAATCCTAAGTAAATACCAGTTCCAGACTACACGCCACAGTCCTTCAGAAGGGTTAGCATTAGACTATCACCTTCCCTATTTTTGAGAAGGCCACCATCCAAAGGATCAGCCTACCTTGTAGAGGGAAATGTTTCAGAGTATCAGTGTTGTAACAGAAACATGTTCTGCTTTCAGCTTCCTTTGCCTCACAAAACTGGGACGACCTTGTCCTTTAAGGACCTCCAACTGTCAATTCCAGCTAGAATACACACCTTCTTGAAGATATCTTGTGCCAATCTTTATAACTGCATTCAGAAAACTATTGATAACCAGTGTAGGGCTGATTATATTAAACCTATCCTATGTTACAAGATAAAAGTTATATAAAAACCATTATCACTCAATATTTGTGCTGCTGCATTTTGCCTCAACTATACTTTTCAGAGTGCATCACATTGCAAAAGTCCAAATATAACAAGGGCCTGAGTTATTCCAGCCAGGTCTTCCTCCAGAAGGCACCACAGCTAGTGACACAGCATGGCTGGGCACAAACAATAGGACCTCTTCTTGTTTTGCATTTGCAAATGAATGAGAGAGATAAATTATGTACTGAAGGACCTGAGACTAGATCCAAAAAGTGATGGGACTAGATGTCGCTATTATTCATTCCCATTCCCATCCCACCAAGAGCTCCAGTATTCATAGAATTTGTGAATTTATTCATGACACGAAACTATTCAAGTCAGTGTCAGGAGAGTCCATCTTACTACTCAGTCATCCCCAAATTTTCCTAATATGGAAGTGAAGTTGTAGTATTTATATTCTACAAAAACCTCAAAAGTGTGTGAAACAGCCATCCGGTTTTGTCTGCAACAAAATTGGTCTGCTTAAGATCAAAGTAAGGCCTGTTTAATTTTCAAGATGTGCTAGGACAGGGGTCCCCAACCTCTGGGCCGTGACCCACTAGTTTGCAACCAGGCCATGGAAACATTGGGTGAGTGTGCAAGCCCATCCCCATTTGTGTAAACAGTGGGTAAGCAAGTGCATGCACGCTCCATTTGCATGAGCAGCAGGCGCACATGCACGGCACTGGTGCAAATAGAGCTGCATGTACATGCACGTACTTGCCAGCCACTCACACAGAACCATCCTCCCACCCACCCCTCCCCCAGCAGTCTGCAAAACCAGAAAGGTTGGGAAACTCTATGCTAGGATATTAACCAGGGTACAGAATAGGAGCTGAATTCTGAAATTACCAGAGCTAGACTATACGAAATCATGGTAGTATGGTTGGTGGTGGTGTGCTTGATTATTCTAAATTATATCTTTTCATTTAGAAAAGAATGTTATGATACAAAAAATATTGTTGTTGTTTCTATTACTCAGAAAACGAGTAAGTTTCTAGAATTTTGTCAGGGACTTTTTGAAAGCCATATAAGCCCATATAAGAGAATCTACATGGAAAGGAAAAAATGGTATATCCTGACTTTGGGAAGTATTTCAACAGCCGTAGAATCTAAGATGACTAAGAGCCTTGATAGTACAGTGGTCTACGCACCCTGTTATTAACACAGCTGCCTGCAATTTACTGCTGGTTCGAATCTCTCCAAGGCTCAAGATTGACTCAGCCTTCCATCCTTTCTAAGGTAGGTGAAATGAGGACCCAGTTTGTGGGGGCAATAAGCTGACTTTGTATAAATATACAAAAGTATGAAGGCTATTGCTTAACGCATTGTAAGCTGCCCTGTCTCCGGAGAAGGGCGGCATATAAATCAAATTAAAAAAAAAAAATCATCTACATAGCAGAAAAAAACACTTGTTTTTTTTCTCTCATTTGTTATACAGATGTATATTACTGTTCAACTGTGGAATTGCTTTTATTATGATTAAATGTTCTACAGTGCTTATCAGTGCATTGAGCACTATCTAATGAACTCCTATATTAAGGATGCCAGATAAAACTTATCATTGTTCCTTCACTTAATACCTTTTAGTGCAATCTGCTCGCAATGTTTTTCCTCAAGCAATAAGTCCTTAAGGAGCAAAAAATATGCATACATATATATACCCCAGGTTTTGAGTTGTTATCTTACAAATAATAGACAAATTGTAAGAAGGCCTAGTGATTATCTAATTCAATACCATGTACAAAATAAGAACAATACATTTGTTTTCAGAGAATATACCAACCGGCAATCAGTTACAACTGAAGAATGCTGCTCTTTTATATCTGGGGGGGAGAGGGGGTTGCTTCAGATAATATTTTGGCTAGATCCAACAAAATAATTTCAATCAGAACAGGAAAACAAGAGAAATCCATATATAAATGGATTTGAAAAGGAATGCTTTCTCATTATGTAACATCAGTGGAGCTTTCTTGTATATATAAGTATAACAGTACTTTAAAAAATGCATTTTGCTGGCGAGGAAATGTTCCATCTTCTGAAGTCACAACTGATAGAAATCTATTTATATTGAAGATTCAAAGAGGTCATAACTGTTTATCTTATTTTCATTATATAATGTTATTTTTTCCATTAGCTGCTTCTTTTTATCATTGATTTTTATTTCTTTCATTAAAGCTGAAATAAAAGACAAAGTAATATCACCGAAGTTTAGTCTCCATTTCATTGACAATTTTTATGGAATGCATTTTAACACATCTATATAAAGAACCATGTAAAGAAAAATATTTTAAAAATGCAAACGTAACAATCAAAAGAATCCAATAGTTGTCATAAAAGACCAGTCCAAGACTTCTGGAAAAAGTGTAGCCTTAGTTTGCTTTTGAAAGCCAAATTGTGCAAAAAGCAAAGGGAACCCTCTTTGTAAAGAATTCCAGTGCTTGAGTACTACCAAGGAAGCAAACCACCAGGTCAAGGATTCCACAAAAATCTTATGGTCTACGACATAAGTGCAAATGCTTGGCCATTTGGGAGTCATACTACTTAGAATAGTAAAATCAAAATTAGGAGTGGTGAGACCTAAGTTAAAGTCTACTTTAAGCTATGGAAATTGACTTGAGTGACTTGACTCCAGTCCCTTTCTCTTAATTCAACCTGACCTGTAGGGTTACTGTTGTAGAGATAAAATGAGTTAAAATCTCTCAATTTATAGGAAAGAGAGAATATAATCCCAATGAATAGACCTGGAAACCAACCAATTAGCTAAACAATTATAAAATTAGCAGTATATGTTCTGTACAGACAGCTCTGATCAAAATTCTATCAGGCATACTCCAGTATTTCCAACAACTTCCAAAATTTAATCTAGAGGGCACCGGTGCAAGCTTCATCATTAATGCAGCTGACAAACTAGCCAAAGTGGTAAAATACATTCTTTACTATATCTGACATATGAGCGTCCAGCACCATGTAGGTTTTTAAATACGAGTGCTATCCAATCAGCACAAGAATAAATATATATTGGAGTGAATATTTTCCGAGTAAACAGTGCTGTACTTTGATTTACTTCACCTTATTTACCCTTTCTGATTTACTGCTGACTTCAGGCATTGTTTCAGTCTCTCCTCACTTGGACCTGAGGAGTAACTGTTGTATGTCATTGTTATTTCTGTGATGCTATATGAAACTTTCCACACAATCTTTGACATTATTGATTTCTACCAATCTCAAAAGAATATTTAATTATTACCTTTTACCTTGTGAGGAACAAGCAGCGCCATCATTTTTTCTCTGCTGTTGATTTGTTTTCCTGTCAGAGTCTGTATTTTTTGCTGTGAACATCACAGGTTTAGGGAAAGAAACATTTTCTGGCTCCAGACTGTGTTTGGTTGATGCACAGAAGGAAGCATGTTCTGCAGCATCCCATGAAAAGTTACAGGATTCATCTGACTCACAAGGTTCCCTTAAAATCTGCTCAGAGTATGTTTCAGGAGGCAAAACTTTTATGCAAGGTGGTAATGTAGTGGTACAGTTTAGAGATCCAGAATTGGCAGAGGCTTTGTGGTTATGACCGTAGAAATCAACATTGAAGGGACTAGCTGGTTCATCATTGGTTTCTTCTGGAATATTGGTGAAGACTCCAAGATTTCTGCTTCTTTCTGACATGTTCTGAGATCTTGTTTGATGATCTGCAATTTCTATCATTTCGTTCACCTGTTTTTGACAAGAATGTTAAATAGATTGTTTCTACTTTCCTCACTGAAATAAAACAATTTCCCTATTTTCTACGTTTACTTACTTACTCTTAAATCCAATAAAATAAAATAAAGAAAATAAAAAGACTACATAGCAAGGGCATCTCCACTAACAAACTGATCATGTTTACCTCTGTTGTGTTTGCATTCTTTTTCCGCAGGCAAATGCAGACAGAAGTGGCCAAGCATAAAGAAACTGTTTCTGTCAAACAAACAGTTTGCTTATCTTGGTATTTGTGACATATTTGTATGGCAGCAAGATTTTCAAAGTTTTTCTCCTTAGAACAAGACAATTCTTTTGCCATTCTGACTTCTTCAAGCAAGGCATCTTTCTGTTGAAGAAAATGTTGGAAGAGTGCAGATGATGTTATTTCTCTGTCTTTTAAAAAAATGTTCTTTAAAGTTGTTTGGTTCACTTACATAATGAAGCTGAAAGTAATTATTCTGTTTTCTACATATTACCAAATAGTTCCTCAAATTTTAACAGGGCAAAACGGTGTGTCATAGGGCAACAATTTTTGAGCAAAGGAGCTAAATTACAGAATGTGCCCCAAATCTATGACACTGAGGGAATGAAATTTTGGGAAGTTGTGCTTGCTTCAATGTTGCCAGGCTGCTGCTATGGTGATTTTTGAACATTCCATGACAGTTGCTCAGCTGCTCTTGAAATCCTGTGTTTTCTCCTTCCCCCAGCAACATCTGCTTGCTGGGGGAAGGGGGGATGGGATGAGGAAGGGAAGGGAACAGGAAGGAACCTCATGCACCCTTCTCATGTAGATGTGGAACAAGTGAACTGCATAAAATAACCACAATGGTTCAAAACCTACGTTCTCCAGTCTGAGGACTTCTCACTCTTAGGGCCTTTCTTCAAACATTTAAATCTTCCAAAATATATTTTCTACATACCAGAAAAATAGGATTTCTTCTTTCATCCACTGCTTTCATGCCAGTCAGTATTTCTGCTAAAACCTAGAAAAATGATTACAATTAGATTTTTTTTTAAAAAAAAATTATAATGGACATTTTATAATCCTGACCTTCAGACTATTATACAGTTTATCTGGCGCTATCTACCATGTTTCCCCAAAAATAACACTCTGTCTTATATTTTTTTGGCCTTATTTTCAGGGAGGTCTTATTATTTTGGGGCGCGTGGAGGAAACCAGAGGAAATGGCAGGGACCGGCTGCGCTTGCGTTTAAATATTTTCGGAGAGGGCTTATTATCAGGGGATGTCTTATTTTAGGGGAAACAGGGTAGGTGCAATCCAGTCCTATCAGAAGAAAATCTTTCTATCAGATATAACCCAGTTTTTAACCAAATCTATAGAGATCAATATTGCCTATGCTGACAGGCAGCTTCTCTGTTCAATCTTAGGCAGAAGCCTTCCCTAATTTTATAATCCAAAACCCTTTTTCCTTAAGACACCAAGACACAACATAGCACAAATGGTTCCTGCCATGCAAAGAATGTGCTCCAGCATGGAAAAATGAGCTTATTCATAAATTTTCAATCTCCAAGCATAATTTTATGAAACGACATCTTGACATTTTACTAATTAACCACTGGAAGTAAGTTATCAAACTTAATTAAAGGAATTAATTCTTGGCATGAGAGTTGTGTAAGATTACTCATAAAGAACAACAACTTACAATTCCACAAGCAAATATGTCCACTTTTTCAGTTAGCTGCCCATGCCTGACAAAATCTTCTGGGAAATAAGCTAGTGAAGCTTGCAAGACCTTGGTTTTTATCACTGTATATTCCGATTTCTTTTCCACAGGATGCAGTCTAAGACCAGAATGTCCAAGTTGTGGTACAAAGTTTGCATCCAGCAAAACATTGGAACTGTTTGTATAGGAGACAAAAATACAAATAAAAAATCAGTTACAACATTGATCTTTGTGAATTAGAACTTAACCCTAAACAGATCAAAAAAAGCATTATCAACTGATAAGCATCAGTTAAACAAATGTGTGACCAAAACCTGGTTTGAAAGCTATAAGAAATGGCAGTTAATTCAGATTGTTAATACTGTACATACATTTTAATTCTAACAGCGTAATGTGAAGAAGGTACTGTAAAATATCAATTATGCCTATTATCAGCCAACAATATTTTATTTACATGACAATTTCTTAATTAGGACAAACAAATGACTTTCTTAAGAAAATATATATTCATAAATATTTTTTGTTTAATTTATCAAACTTGTATGTTTCCCCTGTCCCTGAAGGCAACTCTATACATCTGGAGATAAAATTATTAGACAGTGTATTAGGCAGAATAAATGAATAAAAGAACAGAGGGTGCACTCTATTTTTTCCCTCCAAATAACTCTTCTAGTTATTCTGCCCTACTTATGACAAGGGAAAGAAAGCCAAAACCAGCTGAGGGGGCAGCAGCAGATGTGCACTGTAGATTCAGCAGGTAAGAAATTATTACAGTTCATTTTTTTTACTAATTTCGTGACTCTTGAGGATTTGTCTTGACACATTGGATTTCTTCTAAACTTAAGTTTGCCTTGAACTAATGAAGGCATGTTTTGCTTTCCCTTTTTTTAGCCACGAAAGCCAAGCCGGCTCCGTGTCTGTGTGTCTCTGTGTGTGTATGTCCATGTGCATGTGCATGTGCATGTGCGTGAGCGTGAGCGTGAGCGTGCATCAGAGGTGGGTTTCAGCAGGTTCTGACCAGTTCTGGAGAACCGGTAGCGAAAATTTTGAGTAGTTCGGAGAACCGGTAGTAAAAATTCTGAGTGGCCCCGCCTCCATCTATTCTCTGCGTCCCAAGTGCCAGCTGATTAGAAAGAAATGGGGATTTTGCAATAACCTTCCCCTAGATTGGGGAAGGAATGGAGATTTTACAGTATCCTTCCCCTGCCATGCCTACCAAGCCACACCCACAGAACCGGTAGTAAAAAAAATTTGAAACCCACCACTGGCATGCATCTATGTAGGAGGAAGTACTTTATGAGTCAGTTACATCCTGTGTTACTTAATATTTATTGAAGACAAAGTTGCTAGGAAGGATCATGAATAAAATTGCCTGCTAATTGCCCGCACTGTGCTGATGTTGTTTAGCTATACTCCTTTCTTATGAAAACGCAACATTTTTAATCAGATAGAAGTTTAAGTAGTTCATTAAGTAATATATAATAGGATGCATAAAGAAGTAAATGCTATTTTAAATTCACATCCCCACCTTTTTACATTTCCATGAATAATTCCAAACTGATGTAAATGTTGAATGGCTTTAATTAATCCCAAAGATATTTTGGTGCGTTTCTCCCATGTTAATGCTTCAGAACTATCCTGCAACAGAAAGAACAATGGATCTTTAAAAAGATGACTGTTTAGCAATGAATGACAAAACACTCCTATTGCAAAAAAACAAATAACACATTAGGAATAGTTCTCACGTACTGCTCTGCTGCCATGTATTTCAGCCTCTTGAGCCTGATACTGTATTGGATTGCAAATACCATCGTCTCCATGAGGATTGGAGATAGAAATTGTAGTTCAATCTATTTGGGGGACACCAAGCTCTAGAAAAGCCTCTATACTTTCTTCCAAAATAGAATTACAGAATATGGAAATAGTATTGTTGTGCTCCTAGGAGTCACCCCTCCAAAAAAAACCCTAACTGTATAGCAGGGGTGTCAAACTTGATTTCATTAAGGGCTGCTTCAGGGTTGTGTTTGACCTTGGAAGGGGGGGCAGGGTGTGTGTGGCCAGCTCGATGTCTTGCAGCCTTCTGCCAGCAAAAATGGAGCTCCATTTTCACTGGCAGAAAGCTGCAGGAGGCCATCACAGTCAAAAACAGAGCTGGGGAGGGCCACACGCAGCTATCCCAAGCTCCATTTTTGCTGACAGAGGCACAGTGGGCCTGTCCTTTGCTGTTTCCAGGGCAGCCCCGCGGGCCAGATCTAAGCACCCTGTGGACCGGATTTGGCCCGCAGGCCTTGAGTTTGACACCCCTGCTGTATAGCAACAGCTAAACATACTGCAACAGAAGCTAGTATTGACGATCAGAAAAAGTAATCACATGGTTGTGGGGTCATTGCAATAGCCAAAACTTTTGAGGACCAGTCATAGGTACCACTCATTCAGCACCGTCTTAAGTTCAGTCACTGCAAGAGTGGTTGTTAAGCAAGGACCACCTGTTATTAACAGTCATTCTGTAGTCAGATAACTAAATAAGCCAAAGAACAATACTCAACAGGATCATATGGTCAACTGTTTCAAACTGGAGCTGGTTGATTAAGTAAGAGCTAAACTCACCTCCCCATTCCCCGTGAATCGGGCTGCCTCCTTCTCCATCATATGTCAATGATTTTATTCTGCTTGTATTCTGATTTTATTGGCTATATTTACATTTGATTATTTTAATGTTTTTTTATTTTGAATGCTGCCCAGAGTTGCTTTGAGACAAGACGGCTGGCAAATAAATTTGATAATAAATAAAAAAATAAATATAAAATAAATAATCAAGCACAGCCTACTGCCTAAACACAACCAGATTTTCAGTGCTACAGTATCTACTGGGTTATCATTGCAACCAAGATCTTTTTGAAAGGGTTAGGGAAGCAAATTCTCGAGGCTAAACAAGAGTCAAATTGATGCTTCTGTACTTGGGAGTGGCTGATTTCTCATTAGCCCTTTGCCTTCCTGCTAGTGATACAACCAAGGCATCTTTCCCCCTATCTCTACAACCTCACATCTCAATGAGCAATCTCATGTCTTGGAAATGTTGTTGGTTAGAATGTAACTCCCATAATCCCTCTCATGCTGGTTGAGCTGACAGAAGTGCTTCCTTTTAATAAATGTGGTACACAAAAATGCATACTTGCTGCTTACCTGACATTGTAACCTGTCCAGTAACGATCCATTTTCCATGTAGGGATAAATCAAGGAATGAAGTCCACTTTCTACACAGAAACCCAACAACTGTAGAATATTAGGATGGCAACATCTGAAAGGCATTTGAAGAAATTGTATTTGTTCATTTATTGCAATTATATCCCATCACAATCCCATACAACATTTTCCAAGAATTCAAACATTGCAACATACACAATACGACGAGATCTAAGAAACATAAAACACACAAATCTGAAATCCCACAAGACCTTGTTTGAGGTAAAGGTTCTTCCAGCCCTCTCCTTCAGAAGGAGCTGAGAGTCAAAAGAGGAAAAGAGCTACAAAGCCTACCTAGGAGCAAACAGGCAGAAAAGGCAAAGAATAAGCAATGATTTTGATAGAACAAGAATAGAAAATTGAAACAAAAAAGATAACCTGCGGCCGCGCGGGTGGTGATGGGAGCGACATGGAGTTCCCATGTGACACCTCTCCTGCGCGAGCTGCACTGGCTCCCGGTGGTCTTCCGAGTGCGCTTCAAGGTTCTGGTTATCACCTTCAAAGCGCTCCATGGCTTAGGACCTGGTTATTTACGGGACCGCCTGCTACCACCAATAGCCTCCCACCGGCCAGTACGCTCCCATAGAGAGGGGCTCCTCCGGGTGCCGTCGGCCAAACAATGTCGGCTGTCGGCCCCTAGGGGGAGAGCCTTCTCTGTGGGGGCACCTACGATTTGGAACGAGCTCCCCCCGGAGATACGTAGGATCCCGGATCTGCGCACCTTCCGCCGCGCGCTTAAGACCTTTCTATTTTATCAAGCTGGCCTGGCCTAAATCTTCCCCCTTTTAAATGTGGAAATTTTAAATTTTTAAATTTTAAATTCGTCTTTTTATAGGGGTATGGGTAAGGCATTTTAAATTGGGGAGCCATTTTAGATTTAATTTGGTTTTAAACGTATTTTAATTGTTTATATTGTATGTTTTTAACTTTGGCTGTTCACCGCCCCGAGCCCTTCGGGAGAGGGGGCGGTATAAAAATCTAATAAATAAATAAATAAATAAAATAAATAACACAGAGATCGAACCCTATTGTTGTGGCCTAGTGGCCACCAGCCCCTCCAGCAGGCAAATCAGATGAAGAGGAAGCGTGAGAGTCAGGGTCAGCATCAAGACAACCTGAGAGCTTCAAGAGGGAAGAGGGAATGGAGCTGGCAGAGAGAGAGAGACAGAGGCAGAGCCTGGACCAGCTGTCAGCCCTCAGATGGAGAGTCAATAACACCCAGGTCTGAAGGTGGCTGATGCGGAAGAGGAGGAACAGCTAGGTCCAGGCTGATGCATGAAAGCGCAGAAGGCAGAGGAGAGGAGAGCAGTGGAAATCCATGGGCTGATTCTTGGGAAGGAAGAGTCACTACTGCTAGCAAAGCCCCATCCTAGCTCTGGGAATAAAAGGCAGGGGGCAGAGATGAATAGATGTGGCAGACAACTATTCATCTCTCTGCCAGACAGACTTGTTAGCCTACAGTGAGAGAGAAACTGGCTGCTGGCGCTCCTAATAAAGAAATCATTGCTTCAACTATGGAGGGTTTGTCGTATTTGGGGAGCTGGGTCAGAACACCTATACAAAAGGAGTATAAGTCTATAAAGAGTAACAATACAGTTATAGATAGGCTTTAAGACAAAAGAAATATAGAGGTCAGCAATAAATATATTACAGATATAAAAATGATACAAAGACATGACACTGAACTTTAAACAATATGGTGTAAAGTAAAAGCCTATAGATAATAGTTAAAGTAGTATATACTGTAGTTTTGGCAATAAGTTACTAATTTCTGAAATAGCTGAAAGTATTTAATATTTACAATGGGAGTGGAGAATAAATTTTCCTTGTTTGTAAAGCAAAGTCTCCCCCAGCCACTAAAGGAAGATGTAAAACCAAAATAAAGCAGCTCTTCATTTCTAACACTTTGTTTTTATTGAGTCAATCTAATGTATGTGTGTTTCACACTATGACAAATAAGATATAGAATTATAGCCCTTAAGTATGGAACTGTCACCTTATGAAAAACTTTGGCTATCAGACGGGGCACCATAAAGAGGATAATCCTATGTTACCGGATGAGGGGGAGTAATTCCTCTCATTTTAAGGAATGTATCCCTAATATGAGTTTATTGGTTTTTAAAAGTCTTTGTGCTCTAAAACATTAGAGGATGCATTATGTTCCTATGTGCCCCCCTTTATTAATAAATTCAATAACTGAATTAATTCTATAGATATTCATAGTTTTTATAGAGATTTTTATTGTTGCTTTTTTGGTTAGGTTAAATGTACTTCTAATATGTTTAGCTTTTTTCACTCTATTATCAGTATTTAATGAGAACTTTTTTGTTTTGCATTTTACTGTTTTAACCAAGCAGTTCTCTCTCTCTCTCTCTCTCTCTCTCTCTCTCTCTCTCTCTCTCCCTCCCTCCCTCCCTCTCTCTCTCCCTCTCTCTCTCTCTCTCTCTCGTGTTTGTGTGAGATGGTTAAAAAAGTCAAGATGATAGCCTGATCATATCCCTTCTTTCATGTATTGTACATGTTACACATATAAACAAGAAGTATGGCTTCAACTCAGGGATGAAATCCAGCAGGTTCTGACAGGTTCTGGAGAACCGTTAGCGGAAATTTTGAGTTGTTCAGCGAACCGGCAAATACCACCTCGGGCTGGCCCCAAAGTGTGGTGGGAATGGAGATTTTGCAGTATCCTTCTCCTGGAGTGGGATGGGAATGGAGATTTTGCAATATCTTTCCTCTGCCATGCCCACCAAGCCACACCCACAGAACCAGTAGTAAAAAAATTTGGATTTCACCACTGCTTCAACTGCAGTGAAGGCTGCCATCTTGATTTTTGTACTCAGTCTTGGTGATACCTCTGATTTAAACAATAAATAATATTAAAGATAATAATAAAGACAATAACAGCCTGCCACAGCAGTTATCCAGATCAACTTAAAACTTAAATTGGTTTAAAGCAGAATTATTTTGAGTCTCTTGAGTTCCCCCACTTCCTAGACTCAAAAATCTCTTCTTTAATAGCTCTCCTTTCTTCTATAAGTCTTTGTTCCCTCCTGTATGATCTCAGAGTCTGTTAGACATTCCATTACAAATCCACAACTAAATTAAGAAATCTTCCCTGGATTAAACATTCACTTTCTGATTCTTCAGAGTGAAGTAATTTTCATTAGGAAGTCCTTCTGCTGTGGAAATTATTTATATCTTTTATTGACTACATTTTGTTACTGTAGCTTTAAGAAAGAAAATACATTTCTTATTCCCCTTGTTTTCCTTTCATTGCTTTACTACTTATATTAATTTATTTACTGAGATTTGCCTGTTGTACAAACAAGAAGTTTTATTGTTTCTAGCAAATTTCTACTCCTATATGGCCAGTTAATTAAATGGAGACCTATTTTCCCTTTCCATTGACGGAGCTGCATTTCATAAGGATTCCAGGCAATTTTCCCTGATAAATTTGTAAGGTAATTATTACCCTGTTTCCCCCAAAATAAGCCATCCCCTGATAATAAGCCCAATCGAGCTTTTGAGCGCATGGCAATAAGGCCAAACGCTTATTTCAGGGTTCAAAAAAATATAAGACAGAATCTTATTTTCGGGGAAAGATGGGAATTATTATTTTTTGCAGTATAAATACTTAACAAGGTTAGTAGCAGGAACCAGAAAATTTAAGGTTTAAAGACCCCAGGCTACTATGAAACCAAAGACTGTTAGCAGTTTTTGGTCAGGTGAAAAAGCAGATCAGGAAAATTCCATGAGCTTGAATTTAGGAATCAAGAAATTCCTGGTGGTTGAGCTTGACTCTGGAAAAAGGTAAAATGTAACTAAGGGAATATTGGCATTTCTGTTTGTGCAAGCCTATCTGCTTATCTCTCTGTGTCTAAAACCATTTTGAGGTCATTTATAATGCAAGCTGAAATGTATTGGCTGGATCAATGACAATTGACAATGCGAAGATCATGTAATTAACCGTTTATTAACAACAGCTGGGCTAACTGCCACAGCTATAACTGAACTGCTTGGAACTCTGCCTGACAGCTCTTATAAAGCCAGCTGTCAGGCGGCTTAACCAATCAACGAACAGAACGTTACTTTAACCAATCAACGAACAGAATGTTACTTCCTACTTCAGCAGACTTAATACATTGCACAAGCCCTCCCCTCAACCCACCCATATTCTGGGCCTCTCTGATACAAACCCTAAATTAATACTTTTTGAAGATAAAAGGTTTATTTCACTAGACTGAACTGGAAAAGAAAAAATGAATGAGATTGTTACAATGCCCACCCGAGCTCAGACGTTTCTCAAAGAGAACAATTTTCTTATTAAAGCCAAAATAGCAAAAATAAAATGTAAAATCATTAACAGACTAAAAGACACACACATACAGGTAGCCCTCACATAACACCCATTTATTCGGCAATTGTTCAAAGTTGTCATGGTGTTGAAGAAATGGACTTATAACTGACCTTTGAAATGTATGTGTGTATGTAGTCATTTATTTATTAAATTTTTATACCATCTATCTTGCTATCCTGAGCAAGTCTGGCTCACAAGATAAAGTAACATTGTCATCTGCTGCTTTTCCCCACTAAAAGTGTTGTCCAGCTACTTACCGAAAGCAAATTTGCACTTCTGTACGAAAAAATACTTGTGCCTCATTCTGGAATAAAGAGAATCCTATTATTTTTCTGAACAGCAAGTTCATACTTACACATATTAGTATATACAGTATATACTAGCCATTTTCTTTAACTTATTTGAATCTATTAAACTCAAAATGACAATCGGAATTGGAGAAGGAGAGGCTAATACGTTTATTCTGCTATACCCAATTTCATCAGTAGTTCAAGATCCAAGAGTTCTCTGCCAACATGCTCATACATTGCATCTCACTAGCACTCTTTATTGGTATAGAATGAAATCATATTATATTATTATATCTGCATTTTCAACAATATCATTTTAAAAGTGAAGTTCTTTTTTGCTTCTGTGTTTTTAATTCTACTATTTTAAACCTCCTGGCAAATAGATGGGGAAGAAATGGAGGTAGTGACAGATTTTATTTTCCTGGGCTCCAAGATCATCGCACATGGGGATTGCAGCCAAGAAATTAAAAGATGCTTGGCTTCTGGGAAGGAAAGCTATAGCAAAGTTAGACAGCGTACTAAAAAACAGAAACATCACCCTGCCAACAAAAGTGTGTATAGTCAAAGCTACGGTTTTCCAAGTTGCAATGTATGGTTGTGAAAGTTGGACCATAACGAAGGCTGAGCGTCAAAGAATTGAGGTCTTTGAACTATGGTGCTGGAGGAGACGCCTATGAGTCCCTTGGACTGCAAGGCGATCAAACCAGTCAGTCCTAGAGGAGATCAACCCTGACTGCTCTTTAGAAGGCCAGATCCTGAAGATGAAACTCAAATACTTTGGCCACTTAATGAGAAGGAAGGACTCACTGGAGAAGAACCTAATGCTGGGAACGATTGAGGGGAAAAGAAAAAGGGGACTGCAGAGAATGAGGTGGCTGGATGGAGTCACTGAGCTTAAATGGTCTCCGGGGGATGGCAGAGGACAGGTAGGCCTGGAGAAAAGTTGTCCATGGGGTCGCGATGGGTCGGACACGACTCTGCAATTAACAACAATTTTAAACCAGGCTGATTTACTGATTTAACTGAGAGGTTAATGGAAATCTATATTTATATTGTATTAAATTTGTATAAGTAATTTATATCACTTTGTAGAAACGATGGCTAGAAAGTGATAAGATTTTCACATCTTTCTCTCATCAACATAAATAGGTTCAACATTTAATGCTATTTGGTTCTAGCTCAATAAAATTAACCCGATTATAATAATCCAAGCCTATGTAACTCAACTCCTAACAATAACTGGGGATCCAGATTTTTGAATTTAAGACAGATAAACAAAAATGCCCTGTGAAATTATTGCAGACCTTTTCTAAAGGAGTAGAGATAGCCACCAAGTCTTCTTTCAAAAACACAATGCTAGGGATGGGAATGGCAGTGCCAGGAATCCAATATGGTTATATAGAGACACACACACACCCTATTGTTAACCAGCTTTGCACATGCCTTTCTAATTTTGTTCAATTCATAAGATAAATGAAGACAGATACTTACCTCTTTTAGTTTTTTAACAACATAGTGAGCATTATCTCTCTGACCTCTGTAAGTAGTAGCAAAGGCGCCTTCACTAATTCGGTTTTTTTCACTGAAGCCACTGGTGGCAATATCCACTTCCCTTGGCATCCACAAAAGGCTTGCAGTGTCACGATTAGGAGCAGCTTTGTCGTGAGGAATGGAAGAACTAGAGAGCTACACATTTAAGAGAAAAGATATGACTGATATTTTGGTAAACATCAGAAAAATTACTTTCAATCCCAAGCCACACCACAGGCTGTCACTCCAAAATAACTATACCTAATTCTATACCACTAGAATTGCCTACCTAAAAGTGTACATTTCAATTTGATTTGATTAGTTCTTTACTATAATCCTCTATATTCACAATGTCTTCCAGGTGGTTTGGGGGAGCAGGTTTCATGGCCATTTTAACTACTTACGTAACAAATATTGCAGGTGGTTAATTTTTATTTTGACTGGGTATGTTCAGCTTTGTTGCCACCTGATTTTGAAAGTTGGGTGGTGGTTTTTGTAATATAAAATCTTAGAGGTTTGAAGATATGACATGAAATGTTACTAAAAACTAATATAATACCTTCTTATTTATATTTTTTCTTTATTACTTTCTTGGGTCTTTTTTCTATTTTAAGTGCCTGGTACTAATATGCATTGTTTCATAACTCTAAAGTTGTATATTGTCAGAATGCAGCATATTTGGATACTATTTCCTGGAATGGGATAAATATATTCAACCTTGAATATATGGATAGTTTTTCATAACATTAGACTGGGCAATTGGCTTAGTTTATGTATCTAATGAGTGTCAAATTGTATTTAATTATTTATTTACTTTATTAAATAAATTATTTAATTTAATTTAAAGTACCAAATTTTTCAGACTATAAGATGGACCTTAGTTTTGGGGGAGGAAAATAAGAAAAAAGCTGATTGGCAGGTGGATCGGCCTCCCCAATCAGCTGTTCCCAGAGGTGAACTTTAGCAACAGGTTTGTTGGTTGTGAGCTCTGCGCCTTGCTTTTTCAGCCTCTGAAACCTCCAATTCAGAGGCTTTTTTTCCAGCTTCTGAAACCTCCGTTTGAGAGGCTGGGCGGGGCTACATTTGGTGTATAAGACGCATTCAAATTTTCATCCTCTTTTAGGGGGAAAAAGGTGCGTCTTATACTCCGAAAAATACGGTATTTAATTTATTAATTGTATTTTAATACCAGATTCAGATGCAAGATGTTTGTAGGATTTATTGCCTCAAATAAAGGATAATTTAGCTGAACTGCAAGATTTTGGAAGGGGTGTTATATTGTTGCTTAGCTTCTCTTGAAAAAAGCTGAGATCCAGGATTTTGATTTGACAGCTGCCTTAAACTCCAACATCTTAGCCATTATGCTTTACTTTGCCTCTTGCATAATAACCCTATCAAAGAATTCATTTCTAATGAAACATTTCTCTTACTTGAACAAAACATTTAACAGAGATAGTTGCTAACTATGCATATAATTATTTTTTACCCATAAAAATATAGCCGATAATACTGATAATAGTTTTTAAAACCCTTATTGTATATTTTGAATTAATATATTAGTATAATATGTTTTACTATCTATATGCCTAAGTAATATATTTTATTAACTGCAGAGTATTTTTAGCTAAATGCAATAAATATGATCCACAGAAAGCAATTTAAAGTAGTGTAAGTTTTCCTGTTCTTTACCTTTCCATTTAAGAAATCTGAGAAATTGGAATGTAAAGAATGTGGAAGGTCCATAGAAGTTGACGGTAGAGATAAAGGAGGTATGTCTGAATCTACCTTTAAAAGAGGATCTGAAAGTAACAAAATGAAATACATTAGAGGCTACTTCTGTAGTTTTGGAATCGCAGGAGAAGATTTGTTTCGTTTCAGATCTTTGTACTCAGTGAAAATTAAAAGAGTTACTAATCTTCTAGCATTTTAAAATTGGGTGGCAGACCAGGGGTGAAATCCAGCAGGTTCTGACAGGTTCTGGAGAACTGGTAGTGGAAATTTTGAGCAGTTCGGAGAACTAGCAAATACCACCTCTGGCTGGCCCCCGAGTGGGGTGGGAATGGAGATTTTGCAGTATCCTTCCCTGCCCACCAAGCCACACCACACCCACCAAGCCAGGCCCACAGAACCAGTAGTAAAAAAAATTTGGATTTCACCACTGTTGCAGACCCTAATCAATTGTGGCTGATCTTGACAAAGCTATACAAGACTGCATCTAGTTACTATTCTGACCTACAGGCTACACTGGGAACTTAATGAAACATCCTGGAAGAAAGAAATAGCAAAATCATTTTTAGACTATTGTAAAGGAAATTATGTGGATCTGTTTACGTAATCCTCAGAGGCTGAGTCCAACTCAATGTTGACTTTACTTCTTTGTGCCAGAAAGCAGATCCACTCATCCTGGAGCTTTCCAGATGTCTGGAGTTCAAATTTCAATTATCCATTTAATGTTGTAAGCCACCTTAGCTTGTGACAAGATGGGCAGCAAACAAATTTAATAAATAAATAAATCCATAGACAGTATATCATGCTGGAATTTATGGGAATTGAAATCCAATATATTTGGCATATACCAATATGAGGAAAATTGCCCTAAGTTTGACTTATTGTTTAGCATTATGAATGAGCCAGGACATTATGAATAGTTCAACAAATTATGTGGAATTAGTCACAGGGTGATGTGATGCATGAGTCTAATCACTCTCCTGCACCCCAGGAATCAGATGAATTTGTGTGATAATGGTTGTGCAAGATAAGCCCAACAACTATCAAACTCCAATGTGGAAAAGAGTTTAATTTGTTTTGATTGAATCAAGAAAACAAAGTATTGCATTTGATAGGACATTTAAGTAATAAGCTGTTGCATATACGCAATTAGTAGTGGCTGACAACTTCTTCCCTTTGTTAACTAAACAAGGATTTTTTTTAAAAAAAAATTCTAAATGCTTTTTGTACCATACCATTCTGTCTTCTATGCATCTGGGTCAAGTTGGGCAATGATGATGATACTTCCATCCCATTTTCTATTTTCTTTTTATTTTCCGTCCCATTTTGACGTGGCAAATCCTTGTCCTGTTCAGGGAACTTCAAAACAGTCCTGGCAGAATCATGATTGTGTGATTTCCCTGTAAATATAAAACACATTGGTAGAGTGTTCCTAATTGTACATGTGTAGAGCCAGAGCGGTAGGATATTGAGAGTTGCAAATCCAATTCAGATGGGTTTTCTGCTCAAAGTACTTGTACAGATAGGCCTTGATGAAGCCTTGACAATCTATAAAAATATATAGTTTTCAAAATCTATTTCTTCTCTATAATAATTTTTTAAAATTTCAGTTATATAGGTAGTCCTCAACTTACAACAGTTTGTTTATTGACCGTTCAAGATACAACGGCACTGAAAAAAGTGACTTATGACTATTTTACACACTTATGACCATTGCAGCATTGTCATGTGATTTAAATTCGGATGTTTGACAACTGACTTACATTTATGATACTTGTAATGTCCCGGAGTCATGTGATCCCCTTTTGCAACTTTCTGACAAGCAAAATCAATGGGGAAACCAGATTCACTTAAGAACCGTGTTACTAATTTAACAACTGTTGTGAATCACTTAACAAATGTGGCAAAAAAGTCATAAAGTGGGGCAAAACTCATTTAACAAATTTCTCACTTAGCAAACATCAATTATGATCATAAGTTGAGGACTACCTGTATTTCATTTGTTTCTGGATGGGGCATTGGGTGCAAACAAACACCTATCTTCTACAATGAGTATAAGCTGCATTGGGATAAATATCTGAATTCTCTGAAGCAAATAACAGGAATTCAGTGACCTCAGGGAAACATTCCAAAATGCTGAAGATGCTATCATATTTCAGGAAATTCCCATCTTTTCTTTAACATTTCTGTTCAACCTTTTATTGAAAACAATGTAGTAGAATGAAATTTCATACCACTGGAATCTGCCAGACTGTAATGCAGTAGAGTAATGAGAAGGTTAAAGAACAAAAGGCAAGGTATCAAGGTATATGGATGAGGCAGAAGCAACCAGAAACATGTTAGTATAAACCTCATCTCATGTTCTTATTTAGCGTAGTACTTCTTACGACTTTTCTGCTCTTTGCATATTTTCACTTACCTAGCTCAAGAAAAGACAGAAGGTACTTACAATTTGAAATCACTTGTGCTGCTCTGTAGAACTCCAGTTCCTGCAGAAGTTCCAACAATTGTTGGACCGTCGCAAGCCGCACTCCCCACCACCACATCAGTTCTCTTGTTATACTAATTCCTGCTTTTTCCATGCATTTGATTTTTCTCAGCTCAGTCTGGTCAGTTATCACATGAGATGCTAAAAGCAAAACAAGACTATTTTGATTAACAGGTCACTTTCCTTTCACATGTATTTATCATCTTGTTGAACTTGTTGAATCTGAAAGACATGAAAACTCCCATGGTTTTACCTCAGAATTTAATCCACAGCTTTTTATTATTGAATGGTGAGTGGGGAACCTACTTCAGATGTTGCTGTACTACAAATCTCAATTAAAACCAGGATGGCAGATCATAAGGAAATCTGGGATTTGTAGTTTAGCAATATCTGACATGGATCAAGTTCCCCACTATGATCACAGGGGATAGTTTTGACTGAGATAATGTTCTACATTCTCAGGCCCTAAAATCTACTTTGGATTTAGTGATGCACCTTAAATTGAAGAGAAAAGTTTCATATAACATACCTTTATAAATTTATTTTATTTTTAGCAGCTCTCCAGATTTTATAGGACTTGAATATCCATCTTCCCTGAACTCTGGTAATTCTGGCTAAAATTGGTGGGAATTGAAGGATCATATAATCTGGAAAGGTATATGTTGTCCTACTTCTGCTTAACATTATTCTATATAATGTAAGGTTATAGGTAGTGGTGGCTATGGAGGTCTCACCACAGTTCCTTGTCTTTTTAGTAGATGACTGGCAACTATAACTGTTTGACCGAAGTTATCTGCAAGCTGCTTCATTGCCCATAAAACACCCTATTTTACTGTTCCATGAAAAACTTATAAATTGATGATGCCCAACTTGGAAGAGAGAAAAGCTGTTTCATTTTTTATAGTGGCATTTTGTGATCACAACAGCTTTGCCAAAAGGTTGGGAAGTATTTGCTATGTTTCCTCATTTTTTTCTGCTATCATTTATGAACATCAGTGGTGCATCAAATGACCAGCTATCCATCCATATGTCTTGCCCCACCAGTGAGTATTGAAAGAAATAGGTAACTATCAAATTCAGCTGTTCATCTAGAGGTAATTCTTTCCATAGCTGATCAGGAAAGTAACTGCTTACACATTGGGATTCAACATGCATAAGTGCGGGGGTGGGGGTAGGGTACCTAGGAGGCATCTTTCCCCTGTACAAGGCAATACCATACACAAAAGGACTACACCGCTCCTCATTGATGGGAAATCATTGCACAACAGACTACTAATCCCTCATTCTTCAGGAATGCAATCCAAGATTTCATAAATTGTGACTCATAATTGTGAATGAACTAAAAAACCAATGATAACACAGGCTTTCTTATGTATGACGTATCTCTTGAAATACCTCCATTAATGAAAAACCATGTGGGAAAATCGAAAGAACAATTTACACCCAAAGATTCTCTGAGGACCCTCATAGCCAGAACATACAGATGGAGACACAAAGATCACACTTTCATTAAGGTCTTTTTTATTTCAAAAGAGGGAAGAAGAGGTATAGCTCTAACAAAAAGCCTTTTATTAGAAGGGTTAATCAATAAGGACAGATCACAATAAGTGAATAACTTTCAAGGGAAATGCCTTTTGCTAAAACTACCGAAGCCTCTTAAAGGAATCATAAATCATTTTACTGTCAAGGCACTTTCATTGACAGATGAGATTAACTTTCATCATCATCATTTTATTATCTCCATTTAAAAAAAAGAGATAGTTCTTTTTTTACAAAACAAAACAGAAGCAGAAGCAGAAATAAGAAAGGCAGCTCCAAAATGATTCCAATCTCTCACATACATGCCATATCTTCTTGAGAAATACCCAGGGACATTTATTTTAGTAGATTTCTAAATCTTTAAGAGATTCTATCATTATTTTACTAAAACAGGTTAAATTCTTTCTGGCATGGGGGGGGGGAGCATACTGCCAGAATTTGCAAGACCTAACATTTCAGTTCATTAGAGCAAATATATACAGTATAGTATAATATAATTTTGTGAGGTTTTAAAGTGTGTGTGTGTGTGTGTGTGTGTGTGTGTGTGTGTGTATCTTTTGTGTATTCACCAGAACAACTAGACACAAGGATAGTTCCCCACCCCACCCCAATGCCATCACTCTGCTAAGAAACTAATCCCCACAACACTGTCAAACTATTTAGTAAGGCTGTATTACTGTTATTCTTCTCATATTTCCTATTATGGCACCTATCTCCTTTTCTACTTATGACTATAACTTTGTTGCTTGTATCTTTACGATTTATATTGTTTTATTTAGTTTCCTAGTATGATTTCTGTTGATTGCTTATTTAGTATCCTATGACTATCACTAAGTGTTGTATCATGATTTAGGATGAATGTAGTTTTATGATGACTGTGATCATGATTTATCACTTATAGCTTTTATGTACACTGAGAGCTTATGCACCGAAGACAAATTCCTTGTGTGTCCAGGCACACTTGGCCAATAAAGAAGTTTAATTCTAATACTAATCATTCACCTTCGTTCTGTACAGCTGCCGAAGGGGAAGACCCAAAGAGCAACATCCTCTCCCCTCTCCCCCACCCACTCGGTTTGCTCACCAAAGCGCATCCAGTCGTACTCGTTGAGGCAATCCATCTTCTGGCAAAAGTCCTCCAGCACCCAGGAGGGCAAGTTATGGAGGTAAAGAGACGGGGGGCTGGACCCTTCCAAGGAACAGAACGGCGGCGGCGGCGGCGGCTGAGCCATTTCGCTCTCCGCTTGCGTCACAGGCTTGGGAATTCCCGTCTCTTTACCTTTAGCCATTCACAAGAGCTGCCCGACCAGATGTCCAAATGAAGGTGAACTTGGCGCTTTCTTCCCGGAGAGCGAGGCCCCGCAATAGCGCCGGGCTCGCCTTCCCTTCAGGGTGGCAGGTTAAGAAAGCCGAGTCCGCGTCCCCCAACTTGCCCGCACCTCGACAGCTCCGTCCTAGGAAGAGGCGCGGCTTCGACTCAGCTCACCGCGCGGACCGCAGCTTTCAGACCAGCTGCCTTGAAAGGATTCGGTTCCACCCTTCCTGACGTCAGTTTCTAACACGTGACGCAAGTAGAGTTTTTCTCTTTCTCTCTCTCACTCTCCCCAGGGTTTGTACCTGATCACCTCGATTGCGGCGTCGGATTTCCCGTGATCTTGCCGGATCGCAAGAGCCTGTGACTTTTAGCAAAGTGGGGCATTGCAAAACGTCAAGGGAAGCCTCGATCGCCCCGTTTTCTAGGTCACTTCTGGGGAAAAGGAAGCGAGGCCCTGAAAGGAAAAAGTGGCAGCGCGGCGGGCGGCCAGAATTTGAACGTGGGGGGGGGGGCGGGATGCTTCGCTTACAGGAAAGGACCGCACAAAATTTTTTTAGTAGATGCGAGCAAAAGTCTATTTTTCGCCCCAGGAAAAAGGCCGGCGCCTAACATTTCTAAATAAAATTCTCCGTGCCCTGAACATCACTTACATTCCACTTAGATAATGGAGAAACAAGGGCAGCAAGAATGAATCAGTCTGCAAGGTGTTTTTTTTTTAATAGAAGCTCAAGTATCTAATTCTTTGAATTATGCAAATAGAAGTGTGAGAAGGTGAAAGCCTCTAGGACACCTAGCTATGGTCTTGCTAGCTAGACCACAGATTGATCCTAGCTATTCCTGGAGGTATCAGTGAAACTTAAAACAGTAAGACAAACAGTTCCTTAAACGTTTTTCAGACCATATTGATACTTAGGCTGAAATTTATTAACAGCCTCTTACACAAGGAAATAAGCTGATGTCAACAAGACAAAAAGCCCCTTAAGATACCAAAATCCTCACTCACACAACAGATATGAAGATTATCTCACTCCACAGGGTGAGGAAATGGGACTTCCCACCAGACTCAGCTCAGCCGTCCATCCAAGCAAATTATATTTGGATGCTGTACTAACAAAGCCTAAACTTCTCTATCAATATTTCCAAACCTTGCTTTTCAAAATGTGGCCACCTTCAACTGCTGAGTGTTTGCATTGCTGTGGAATAAATTATAGCTCCACTTCAAGAAGGCGGCCTGTAATCATTGACCCAGCTCAGAACAGACCAAGAATTTTCTTCTAACTGATGGAAAAAAATATCACAGGCAGATTTAGAGCTCACCAACGGGTATTTTAATGAGGTTTGGGCTCTTATACCTTTTTTGTCAGATATTGCCTGCATATGATGCACCAGAGACTAGAAGGGGTTAAGTCTTTTCAGACATCATAGGTGACTATATCAGCCAATGAACTTTCTTATTGGACTCTTACCTAGAAACCACTTGGACATCTTCCCCTGTTTTTCCTCTCTCTCTTATCTATCTCTCAGCAAGACAACACGTGAACTTCTCTCTCCTCTAAACATCTGAGTCATACAGTTAGGGTAAAAGTGTAACAGGACACCCTGTTCATTATCATATGCATGTATATATTTGTAAATAATAAAAACAACCTTTTGAACCTGAAGCTGTATTGACCAAATAACTTCCTCATAGAACCAAATGAGCACGACCATCAATATATATCTGATAAATGATAGCAGACAATGAAAAATTATTGCTCAGGTCTATGAATTTTTTGTAAATTTTAAAATCATAGAACGATTTTTCCTAACATGGAATCCTTGAACCTGAACGAACTATCTTTACAAGAGATTGATGTATTAACCGTATCCATAACAAAACAGCACCAATCATTATTCAAAAGACTAAAAAAACTTTCTATTAAAGCTACGCAGCAAGTACAAACCTCTTTACGAAAGGACTCAGTTTTTTTTTCTCCTCTTCACCCGAACACCGAAAGAACAGAACCACGCTTACAACAATCTTGCTTCGATCTCAATTCTACTCCACCTCATGACTATCATCAAGGACTTCAACCTTCTGAATCCCTTGTATGTTCCAACCATATAACTTCAGACCAACTTTTATTTTCTCAAGCTTCTCCAAAACAGCATTTATATCAAGCTTTATATGCGACAGGCCTACTAAATGCAGGCTGGACTCCTCAAAGAACTCTTGAACTGTTAAACACCCTTTCAACCTCACCAGACCTGGTAAGCGACAATTTTTTGCTTCAACCCATAGATTCCCAGACTGACTTTTTAAACATCCATTATATTAAAAATCCACCCTCCCCACCTATCGACTTTATTGCTTCCAATATGGCTTCCACCTTCCCCGAAAGCATGGCTCCAAAAATGGCCGACAAAATGGCCGCCCCCATACTCTACCATGCGGTCCACAAAATGGCCAACAATTTATATTTTATTTATTATTATTATTTATTTATTATATTTCTATACCGCCTTTCTCCTGTAGGACTCAAGGCGGTGTACAGTCAAGAAAAATATAGATACACAAACATCATAAAATTGCTAATTAAAATTATTACTATAACAGAGTTTGACCCAATTAAATAGAACCTAAAATTAGATAACATTTTAAAAACATTCACATGTTCATATGTTTAGCCCCGCCTGTTGGAACATCAGGGTTTTGAGGGCACGGCAGAAAGCACGGAGATGCTTTCAGGGATATTTCGTATCTCAGGGGGCAGTTCATTCCAAAGGGTTGGAGCCCTCACAGAGAAGACCCTCCCCCTGGAAGTCACCAGTCGGCATAATTTGACTGACGGTACCCTGAGTAGTCCCTCCCTGTGAGAATGAACTGGTTGGTGGGAGGCTATTGGTGGCAAAAGATGGTCTCGTAGGTACTCAGGTCCTAAGCCATGGAGCTCTTTAAAGGTGATAATTAACACCTTGAATCGCACCCGGAAGACCACTGGGAGCCAGTGCAGCTCGCGTAGGAGAGGTGTTACATGGGCGCAACGAGCTGTGCCCGTAATCACCCGCGCGGCTACATTCTGGACCAGTTGGAGCTCCGGGTGCTTTTCAAGCGGAGCCCCATGTAGAGAGCATTACAGTAGTCCATACGGGAGGTGACTAGGGCATGAGTGACCGTGCGCAAGGCGTCCCGATCCAGAAAGGGATGCAACTGGCGGATCAGGCGAACCTGATAAAAGGGACCCCTGGCCACGGCTGTCAAATGATCTTCTAAAGATAGCCGTGAATCCAGGAGGACACCCAAATTGCAGGCGGTTTATTTATATGACCATTTATATATTTATTTATATGACCACACTTTAAACAAAATTATGTCTACCACTTCAGACCACAAGGTCTCAACCAACCCCCTTACCCCCATACATCCTACTACCCACCCCACAACTGGAGATATTCAGACTGATTCCCTACCTTCTTCATCCAGAGCACCGAGTTCGAATCCTTCCAATTTTTTTTTCAATTTTCAGAACTTTTCTATTTTTGCCGCCGCTGCAGACCTCCCCATCTATACCGCTGCAGCTGCAGCAGCTGCCAATATTTCTATTGATACCAATATTGTCTCCAATGTAAAAAGATCCTTTTCAGTCTTTGCAGCCGCCACCTCGCTCCCCCCCTTATCGCCGAAGATGCTGCCGCTGCCGCCTCCAACACTACAGATGCCCCATCCAAACAACAAATTCACACGATTTTTGCAGCCTTTGCATCAAAAGCCAACCTACCTTCTACAGCAGCCGACGCCGTCGCAGCAGCTCTTCCGAATCAAACTACAACCACCACCTCCATTATTCCTCCTATCATTGAATCACCTACAACATCTTCTCTCACACCAAACGACTCCAATCAACAATCCGATGTTCAATTACCTATCTCTGCTGACAGTAACTCATTTCAGCCTTCTATTACTGTAAACTGTAATGATTTAAATATTGAAACTAATAATTCTTTGTCTTTATCTACTAATATAAATTTATCTTTAGAAATTGAAACTGTTTTGCAACATTTTAAACAACATGGCCCATTACCTTTATCACCAAACTCCAAAAAATTACAAACCTCAGGTAATAATTTCCCTACTTGGGAACAAGAAACTCATTTACATCTTTTAAGAGAAGGCACATTTCTTATAATTGAATCTCCCCCTAATAAGCCTTGGTCATCTGACTTAGCTTTTCTTCACAATAGTGTTTATGCCATTCTTATGTCAACTTTAGAAAGTGATATTGTTCATTCTATATCTACAGGTTTTACTGCACATGAAGTATGTCAATACTTACAAAAACATTACAACAAACCCTCGCTTGCAACTATCGGTACTCTTGCCGGTGACTTTTATAGCACCATATATAAACCTGGCACATCTATGGCCAAACTTCTTTTCCACCTCGAATCCATGCGAAAACAACTGATTCAACGCAATCATCCTGTACCTGAAACTGCCATGATTGGTATCATTTTCAATTCTATTAAACACATCCCTGGTCGGTCAGGATTCATTAATAGTCTCCACTCCTTACCCCCCCACATGTACACAGCGACATGTACACTGTCGCTGAAATCAAATCCAAATTAATAGATGAAGATAGAAGAATCTATCATACTGATAGATACCCTATTCTTTTGACCACCCTTTTTACCCTAAATATGATTCCCATCCTTCACATTCTTCACACAAACCCTTCTACCAAAACTGGCAGAAACACCCCTCTCAATATAAAAATATTTTTAATTATTGTAACTATAGAGGACATTATCATACCTACAACTCCCATCCTCCACATGGTGACAACACCCCCCACACTCATGATACAAGGGGATACACCCCTACAGACAAAACTAACAAAAGAAATCATACTATCAAAGAACATACTGAACCTAAAAGATCCATGCCCACTGAATTTTACATTAGAAAGGGTCCCACACACAAAGATTATAAAGACAGAAGGGGACAACACACTGAACAATCTATATATTCTAACTCCGAATCCCAAACATTTGGCATCTTTCCCAACACCCAACAATACCTGCGTGACACCACGCACCTATGGGTCATCGATTCTGGAAGCATACAGCATACCACCAATAACAAATCCATATTATATGATATTCACCCAACCAATATTTCTATTACAGCAGCAAATAGTACTTCCAATACAGTTGAATATGAAGGATCTATCTTTATACCCGGTATAGGGGACATTAGTCAAGTGCTCTATACACCTACCTTTGGGAACAATATTAAGAGTACTTCAAAATTAGGTAAAATTGGTTTTAAAGTATCTCTTGATGATCAACATGGTTTTATAAAATCCAAACATGATAACACTATTGTTGCTAATATTTCTGTCATTAATGATTTACCTTTT